GGCCGGCTGCGGCAGCTGCGGCTCCTCCCGGGGTGTGATGGTAACTAGGCCGGCGGCGGCGGTGGGGCTGCTCAGGGCTCTCTGGGGTCCGCTCTCCGCTCCCGCTACCGATCGAACTAGCGAGAATGGCGGGACGGGCGGGATAAGCCCTGCGATCGACCCGCCCTAATCATCGTTCACTGGCCAACAGTACTGTCAGTCTCACCACCTGACCCCAATTCCTGACTCCTATTGGCTGATACTTTATCACTCCTCCACTCTCATTGGCCCTTAGGCGGCTAATTCGGCCGACCTACAACCGTTCCTGCCTCCGCCGCCGCCATAGAGACCGGAACTAGAATTAGAGTAGAGTCACCACGAGAACCATAGAGTGCCCGAGAGGACGGGTAGAGAGAACGTGACTTTCACGAGGCTGCAGCCTGGGAGGGAGGGTCCCCCGTCCAGGGTTGTGCCCTGGCCGAAAGAAAGGCACGGCCAGACACCTGAGCCGCGACTACCCGGCCTGACCCGGGCGCTTGGAAGGGGGCCCGACGACCCCTCAGGCCCATGTGGAGAGAAGGCCTCCCTCCCTGCTCCAAATATGGTCCTTGTGACCTCAGACCATTACTGCGGATAGAGCCGCCTTTTCTACAATGGCCGTGTACTCGCGGCACAGCCGAGGGTTTCTGGAACAGACTTAACCGTATGCGTTCAAAGAGCGTCCGTTTTCGGCGGAGCAGTCACCACGGAGGGACTACGCAGGCTCTCAGGCCGCCGCTGCTCAGCGTATTTAGGGTGGAGGGCTGGGGTGTACTCCATGGGGGCCTGCCTTCGGATCCATCTTACCAGGCATATAAGGACTTCTAGCTAAGTATTCATCTCCTTTTGTATTGCCCACAAATCAGATTTAATTTCAGCTCACATTTACTGAGCAATTGAGGCATTTTTCTTGCATTTTATCCTTACAACAACCCTGTGAAATAGGGATTACTGTCCACGTCTCACAAACGATTTATAATTGAGGCTGCCACCTGATGTAGCTGAAGTCCTCCACCTTCATTCGTCTTTACTAAGCTCTACTATCTGCTGGGAATGGACTAGTTCGCCAGTAGTTTCTGCCTTCTTAAATTCAGTCTAGAGATGAAGGCCGAAATTTAAAAACCAAACACTCTAAACACTCCAGCGCTGCAAAAGCACAAAGTATTTTGGGAGTGGAGGCGGGTGGAAGGTGGAGTGCTGACTCCAGGCACTTGCGGGTTTATGCAAAGGCTAGAAGCAAGAGGTGGGCAATGCAGGTAACGTAATCCAATAAAACGAGAATGAAGACACTGGATTATAGAGGTAGGCAGGGTCCGATTAGGAACATTTTATTTGAAATATGCCCTTATCCTAAGGGCAATAGTGAGAAGGGTAGAGTTGTAAGTAGGGAGTGGCTTTTTTTTTTTTTTTTTAATGGCTACAGAGTGGTGAATGGGTTGTAGAGGAGCAAAAACAGAAGTAGGGAAAAACGGAGGCGAGTGCAGTAGTCCTTACCCTATCAGTATCATCTAGGTCTGTCAATTCCACCTCCTAAAGTCCCTCGGAATCAGTCCTAAAAATCTCTAACTGCCAATCCAGAGCCTCTCCATTCCCACTGCCACTACTCTAGTGTAGGCTATCATCAGCTATGGCTTAGAGCACACCTCTGTACTGACTACAGAGTAAACATTTTAAGCTTTGCAGGCCAGATGATTCTGTCTCAACCACTCAACTTTAGAGCCTGAAAGCAGCCACACACAATCAGTAAACAAGTGCACCTGTGTTCCAAAAATTTTTATTTATGGACACTGAAATTTGAATTTCATGTAATTTTTACATGTCACAAAATACTCTTCTTTAGATTTTTCTCAACTATAAACATTTAGAAACCATTCTTATTCTTAGTTCTTGAGCCATTGAAAAACTGGGAGTGAGGGCCGGCCCCGTGGCTTGGTGGTTAAGTGCGCGCGCTCCGATGCTGGTGGCCCCGGTTCGGATCCCGGGTGCGCACCGAGGCACCGCTTCTCCGTTCATCCTGAGGCCGAGTCCCACATACAGCAACTAGAAGGATGTGCAGCTATGACATACAACTATCTACTGGGGGTTTGGGGGGAAAAAATAAATAAATAAAATCTTTAAAAAAAAAAAAAAAAAAGAAAAACTGGGAGTGAGATCTGGCCTGCCAAATGTAGTTTGCTGTGGCCACCTAGCCAGTCTCTCTACCTCTTACTCTAATATTCCCCACCATAACACCCAGAGTGTTCCTTTGAAAAAATCTGATCATGACACTGTCTTTGTTAAAATCTTTCAGTGACTACCACTACCCTTAGGATTGTCCAAATTCCTTAACCTGCTTTATAGGACTATGTGACTTCTCTATGCTTACCTCCCATTCTTCTTTCCCATTCCTTGTCCAACCTTCCAGGTGATCTTTTAGCCATTGCTTCCTTTGGGTATCACCTCGTACTCCCTCTACTTAGAACACTCTCCTTCCTCCCTTCTTCTCCTGCTTGACTCTTCATCCTTTCGGTCCGGTCTCAGATGTTACTAGGCCAGGAGACCCTCCTATCCTAACACACTGTATTGCACTAATTAAATCTTCCCTGCCGGGCTATGAGTTCCTGCAGCATCTAGCATAGTACCTGACACACAATATCTTAATACATTTATTAAATGAATGACGGTGTAGAAAATGGATTGGAGAAGAAAGTACTGGCAGCAGAGAGGTCATCTGGGCAGCTGCACCAGTAATTCAGGTGAAAAATGCTTGCAGCAACAGTGTGTATGGAGAGAAATAGGTAGATTCTAGAGCTGCTATTCATCTGCTCCAGCTCCAAATGACTTTTGACTGTGAAGAAAATGTTTCCTCAAAAGGCACTTCTGGGCCGGCCCCACGGCTTAGCGGTTGGGTGCGCGCGCTCCGCTGCTGGCAGCCCGGCTTCCGATCCCAGGCGCGCACCGATGCACCGCTTGTCCGGCCATGCGGGGGCAGCGTCCCACATACAGCAACTAGAAGAATGTGCAACAATGACATACATCTATCTCCTGGGGCTTTGGGGAGAAAAAGGGAAAAAAAGGAGGAGGACTGGCAATAGATGTTAGCTCAGGGCCGGTCTTCCTCAGCAAGAAGAGGAGGATTGGCACGGATGTTAGCTCAGGGCTCATCTTCCTCACCAAAAAAAAAAAAAAAGGCAGTTCTGCTAACACTGAGGACATTTAAACACGTGCCCCTATAGGCTTGAGAGCTTTTTCCCAAAGTGGAGTCACAAAGACAGAGAACAATAGCAGCAGCACCTCTGAGAATAAGTGAGCAACCTTCCCTAAGGAACTGCTTTGAAGGGATGGCTTCTCAAGCAGAAATATAAATTCTGTAACATTTGTTTTTAAAATGTTACTTAAAAGTATCATTGCCTACTCATCCAATTACTTCACTAACCTCTCCATGCTCAGTAAGCATGAAGATGAGCCATTTAAGAAACTAGTTTCCAGGGCCGGCCCTGTGGCTTAGCGATTAAGTGTACACGCTCCGCGACTGGCGGCCCGGGGTTCGGATCCCGGGCGCGCAGCGACGCACCGCTTCTCCGGCCATGCTGAGGCCGTGTCCCACATACAGCAACTAGAAGGATGTGCAACCATGACATACGACTATCTACTGGGGCTTTGGGGAAAAAAAAGGAGGAGGATTGGCAATAGATGTTAGCTCAGAGCCGGTCTTCCTCAGCAAAAAGAGGAGGATTAGCACGGATGTTAGCTCAGGGCTGATCTTCCTCACAAAAAAAAAGGGGGGGGGGAATGTAGAGTTTCCTTGTAACCACATCTGTACCACTGCAGTGACGGCACTGAAGCACTAGAGGAGAAACAGTTCATGTCAAAATTCATCTCCTGTTCCAAGATGGGAGCTCTCCACTCCATAGTTCTGCTAGTCCCCCTGCCACCCTGAGAGCTCACACTGCCCAGAATAATAAGACAACTCCAGTGCCTGCCTTTAAGTGATGTGAAAGGCAAGGAGGTTCATTCCCATATCTCCTTTGCAAAATAACTTTCACCTCGTCCCCCATCTCTAATAGACTCTGGCCCAAGAACATAGTTCCCTCTTCCTGGAAAGCCCTCCCCACCCTTATCTCCTGGCTAATTCCAACCGATCTGTCAATACTTACCTGAAATGTTACCTCTTCCTCTCACTCCCAGTCTCTCCACTCCGCTCCTATAGCATCTTGCACATACCATGCAACAAATATTTATTGAGCACTTACTAGGGACTGGATACTTACCTCTTCCAGGTGCTGGGGACACAGCAGAAAAACAACAACAAAAAAATTTCCTGCCCTCACAAGGGCTCCCATTCTATTACTCACCACATTGAATTGAAACTGTGCCTATCTCCTGTTACAAGCATGGGCCACATCTTACCCATCTTTGCAGCTCCAGTACCCAGGGATAGAGACTGGCATAGAATGCAGATGCCAAGTGTAACTGAATTCAATTAAAATGGCCCATCACAAGAATGTCAGCTCAGATCCTAGCTGCTCATCCTCCTTCCTCTCTTTTTATAATTCCACCCTGTCTAGTCACCTGAAGATCTCTGCTCCACTAGATCACAGTCCTTTCTTCACTGTGTCCCCTGAACCCAGTTTACTTAGCTACAGAGTTGCAATTATCTATACTGTAGGGCCCTTGTATGTCTTGCCATCTCCCTTGTCCCCCAATACACTGAAATGGCACCTTTAACCAGGTTCCATTCTGTCATAGGATTTAGCTCTCTGCTACCTCTGCCGCTGCAGTTGCCTGCAGCCAGTAGTTAGGAGTCATCCCTGTCGTCCATGAGTCAGGAGAAAGAAAGTAGAAATGGGATAACACAGAAACTGCTTCATGAAAAAAATACCAGAGAACTCTCTTTACGTAACTCTTAAACACTATACTCACTGGGATCTTTTCATGTTGGGTTATTTCCTTTCAAAACAAGCACTTTCCAAGGCATGTTACTGTTTACAAGTTACCTTCATTTACATTCTCTTATTTGACTCTTTCAACAATGCTATGAAGTAGACAGGTATTATTATCGCCATTTTATAGATGAGGAAACTGGGGCTTTGAAAGGGGAAGTGAACTTCTCAAGACCTCAGCTGTTTAGTTTAAAAAATGACCCCAGATTCAAACCAAGACTTTTGACTAAATTATTCCCACTTCATCATGATCAAGATACATTCTACCAAATGGTCTTAAAAATATCCCAAGTTAGTGACCCTTTTCCCCCAGCCTCCAGAACCAACAAAACTGAACCTAATAGCAACATCCTTGGAATAAATAGTGCTCTAAGACCCTGGGGCTTCCACTTCTTACCCAATCAGCTGAACCTGAGAGGGGACTGCTACAGCTGCTTGTACATCTGAAGCATCACAGATACACAGCAGGGCCTGGCTCTGGTCCATGCTGGCCTCTGGGGAGAGCCAGTCCTCCTGGCCGAAGCTAAGGCGTGAGGAGACGAGGCTAGCGTTACAACCATTTACAAACAACACACATACAAAACCAAAAAACAAACTTTATTTACAGTTGAAAACTTAGAAAATCTTGGGTTCTGGATCTGTGACACTTCGAGAGTCTCTTGATCAAAGAGGGCAGCAGCAGGCAGGGAAGCAAACACAGGGGCCAGGCCAGTCCAGATTATCTTACTCAAGAGCATCACCCAGAGAAGGGAAAGCCTACAATGGCAGAGACGGGGAAGTCAGTGAGGGATGACAGAGAGAATCAGCTCTGAGGAACTGGAAAGGGACATTTCCCGAGAGACAATACTCCTGCTATTTTCTACCCTCCTGATCTTCTTTTCCCAAAAGAGCAGAACCAGTCTGTTTCTTGCCATAGGCCAGACTTTTGGTTCCCCAGAGCAAAGGTGACAGGCATATAACACAAGAACTAAGAAAGAAACTAACATTTATGGCTAAGCCTATTATCTCATTTATTATTTACCCTTCACAATTCTGTGTAGTATATATTATCTGTAATTATGCAAAGGAGAAAACTAGGGACCCAAGGGATTTAAAGGCTTGACAGTGATGGGACTTTCTGGTCTATTTGGTTCCAAAGTATGTGTGCTTTTTGCCAGACCTTAAGATGGCTCTCTGTGGCGCTCTAGAATAAAGAGCAATCCTTCTTCCTTGCAGGTTTTGGTTCCAGGGTTACAGAGAAGGGAAAGGCCACACCCTCTGTTATGGCCTTGGAGTTAGCTGTACTAAAAGAACAGGGTGCGCACACTCAGATAGTACTGTCCCCTCCCCCCAAACGTGGCCACACCCTTCCTCCAGAGGACAGTGAGTCCTGGTGTTGCACTGCAGGCTCAGACAGAAGTTTAGCCCTGGGCCTCGAGCAGAATGTATAAAAATGTATAAATGCCCTTTATAAGTTGCACGGTGCTCCATAAGCTCTGTCATAGACCAGGCACTGTGATAGTCAGCATGGTCCCTGCCTCAAAGCGTTCTCAGTCTAGAGAAAACCAGACCAACACATTTGTGATACACTGTGTTAAATGCTCTAATAGAGAGATGAACCAAGTACTGTGGGAGCACCCAGGAGGGGACCACTGAGTGTGCCTACACCTGGGAGGAGAAGATAGAGGGACCAGGGAATGATTCACAAACTGATGTTAACCACATGCTCCTCAGAGGGGCTGGGAGGGAACTAGGATTAATTAAAACTATATAGGGCCGGCCCTGTGGCTTAGCGGTTAAGTGCATGCGCTCCGCTACTGGCGGCCCGGGTTCGGATCCCGGGCGCGCACCGACGCACCGCTTCTCCGGCCATGCTGAGGCCGCGTCCCACATACAGCAACTAGAAGAATGTGCAGCTATGACATACAACTATCTACTGGGGCTTTGGGGGAAAAAATTTAAAAAAAAAATTAAAACTATATATACAGTATGTATTTCTGTTATAAGATACACGCTCAATGTAGAAAATTAAGCATATACAGGGCAATATAAACTGGAAAGAGTCTCTTTGCAATCTCTACTCCACAGAGGTAACCATTATTAACAGTCGGCTATAGATCACCACCGTAATTTCTGAAATAGTTATTCAAAATAAATAGCATCATGCTTACACGATGTACTACATCTTGACTTGGTCACCTGATTTACCTTAGAGATCCTGCCGGCACATACAGATCTACTTTGTTCTTTCTAAGGCAATATAGTATTCCATTGACACGATGTACCTCGACGAGTAAGACCTGGTTACAACACTGGGAGCTGTGCCTTTGCACTGGACCGTACTGGAATGAAGCCAGATATTCTCCCCTGCCCCCTCCCTTTTTAGCTGGCAGGGCCTGTGACTCTGAGGGCAGGGGACAAACAGTGTCACACACCCAGCAGGCATGGAGATTTTTGCTGCCAAACCTCTGGTGCTCCCTAGACCCATATTTCACGGGAACCTCTTTTCTCTTGCCTGGACTCTGCCTGGACACCTCACCGGCCTCCAGCCCCTCCTCCACACTGCTGCCACAATCAGCTTCTGAACAAAAAAATTCAATCACAATATTCTCCTGCTCAAAACTCTTTAGTGGCTCCTACTGGCCTGGTTCTTTTTGGTGGGTCAGGTCCCCTTTTGAGAATCCCAGGAGAACAGTGGACTCTCGCCCCAGGGGGAAAAATGTACATACTGCCTGAAGCCCATCCCCACCGTCAAGATAACATCCGAACCTCAGCGTGCACTGGTTCTCACCCCTGGCCCTGGCCTCCTCCAGCCTTGCCTCTTACCATTTGCCTTTCATACCTTCCTGCTTTGGCCATATGGGATTATTTGCAGTCTCCCTTATACTTCCTGCTGTTTCTTCCTTTTGTGCCTTTGTTCATGCTGCTCCCTCTGCCTGGAATGTCCTCCCCACTTTTAGCCACCTAGTAAGTTCTATCCTTTCATGTACTCAGCTGAAGCATCCTCTATCCTGCAGTCTTCCCAAACCACTCCAGGCAGACACAGGCATTCACTCTTTCCTTATGTGGTCTGAAACCCTGCAGTCCAGTGCTTTATTGTACTGTAACTGTCAGTTTCCCCAAAAGACTGTGAGTTCTTTGAAGGCAGGAACTGGGTTTTTCCAATCTGTAGCCTCATATGCAGCACGGGACCTATCTTAACTAGTGCTTAGTTGTAGAATGAATGAAGGACCAGCCCACATGCCAACATATCTTTCATAATCTTCCTCTACAGGAATGTACCACATCTACAGGTAATCCCAGAATGCGGGACAGTGTTTCCTAACTGTTACTGTAGCCACCATCCACAGGCACAATTTTTAACCTAATCACTATTCGTACTTCAATAATGCCTCACTGTAAGCTATAACAACTGTAAAATTATGTGTTGCGTTAATTATTTATTTGTTCCTAAGATGCAAATGTTAAAAGATATTCATCCAACACCCCCCCACCCCCACCCAGAGGCAGTGCTACCCACATTTCTCTAATAAGCAGCATCAGAGATTCTTCTTGCAAACAGAGCATCCTGGGTCCTACCTCAAACTCAATCAAACTCTCCAGGGGAGGGATCTGGGAATTAGTAGGTTTAACAAATGCCCCAAATGATTCTTATCTTTAGGGAAATTTGGGAAACAATGAACGAAAGAAAGCCTCCTACTGTTTGAGACAAGCACCAGGTTTGGGGATCACAGAGAGGAGCAGCAATTCAGACTAGTGGGGCTGCCAGAGCTCACAGCCACTCCCTGTTCAATGAGACTCTCAGACTTTCAAAACAGAGGTTCCACCAGCCCCCATGTGGTTGTAAGCAGCAAAGAACCCAGTTCAGACTACAGCAGAATCCTGAGGGCCAAGGCTTGTTTACCTATACCTAACCAAATTCATCATAAAAAACTTTCACAGGGTCCACTGAGATAAACCATGGTTTCTACATCTAGAGCTGTACAGATAACTTTGTCTTCACTCAAACCAGTCAGGACCTGAGGCAAAACATAAAAGAGTTCTGGAAGAAAGTGCTTCCCAGGAAGGTACAGTTGACCAAGTGACCCCACCGGTCTTCTATCTCCTTCCTGTCGTCTTCTGTTTCCAGTGCCTCGGACTGAGGCCTCAGATGCATGAGCAGGTGATTTCTTTATTTGAATGCAGTAGATTCCTGCTGGACCAGTGCCACCAAGAGATTATCTCCTCCTGGGTCTTTTCTGATTGGAATATAGCAGGTTCTCAATTAAAAGACTGTGATATTCCCCTGTAGCCTTGCCACTCAAAGTCAGCATCAGCATCACCTGAGAGCTGGTTAGAAATGCAAAATCTCAGGTTCCATATCCAGACCCACTGAATCAGAACCAGCATTTTAACAAGATCTCTTGATGATGCATATGCACATTCAAGTTTGAGAACTACTGCCCAATAGGGCTTGAAAATATCATCTGTAGAGGACGTCAACCATTATTCTGCCCCAAACAACCTGAGGGATCTGAAGTGTTCTTGTAAGAATTAGAGATACTTGTAACTTTATAGGTGGGAAGAAAAATGATGGGATAAATTCTCCTGCTCCCCAGAGGACTGAATCTACTCTTTGTCTTACTTTCTCCCCAGTCCCAGTACTCAGAAACCCAAAGTAGGGCACCTATCGGTGGAACCCCTTGATGTCAGACTGCTACCTAGATTCCCTAACACCTTAAAACCTATGATAGAAATTTTTGGTAGAGTTAAATGAGATAATTCAAGTAAAATTCTTAGCTCAATATTTGAGCACCAGAAGTATTCAATACATAACTGCTTTTATTATATTGTCCCTATGTATTAGCTATGAGAGATTCAATTCTGAGCAAGTCAGGGTTAGGAGACTACATGTGGCTCTTTAAATTTAATTAAAATAAAATAAAATAAGATAATAAAATAAAATAAAATAAAAATTCAGTCCTTTAGTCACACCAGCTGCATTTCAAGTACTCAATTGTCACACGTGGCTGGAAGCTACCATATTGGACAGCACAGATATAGAACATTCCCACCATCACAGAAAGGACCGACTACTGGACAGTTCTGGTCTAGAGGGCCTCTGCAATGTCAAATGGCCCCTGTGGAATCTGTCCTGCTTGAGTTGCAGGCTGAGAAGAGGGGCTTTCCTGGGGGCAAAGGTTTACGTGACCTTTGCTGGTGGGTGAGGCGGGGAAGGCTGACGATCACCACCCTCACAAATCAAACCCCCAACAAGGATTTCCAGTAACCTTCTGTAAGGGACTTAGAAAAATACAGAAAAGAGGCCCCAAAGAATTTCTAAATTTTATTCTTTTTATTATCTTCTGTCCTCCAGTAGCGATCAGTGTTCAATCTTTAGAAGGAAAAGGACCTATGAGCTCAACTTTAGTTACAGCAAAGAAATGAGTGGGAGAGGGAGGAGAGCAGGTTGAGCCATCGGGTCCCCCAATACTGGCAGAAAGGAAAGCTCAGGGTGTCAACTGGGCCTGAGATGGGACCATCTGGCTGGACAAGAGAGAGGGCCACGTGTAGCTTCCAGCACACACTTGTGCATTCCTGCCTCAGCATGTGCTCACACCAGTTCCCTGCCTAAAATGCCTGACATTCTCTCTATTAACTCTTGTAATAAATTTATACTGAAGGCCTATAAGTGCCAGATGCTGTGAACACAAAGTCAGTCACAGATAGAGGTATGTATAATCATTAAAATGGTCTGGTATTTGACTAGATTTCTATTTGGCAAAAAAGGCAGAGTACAGAAAAACAAATTCTAGATAATTTTGTAAGTACACAAATAAAACTATAGAAATATTAGAAAAAATACAGAAGACATTATGATCTGAGGTAGTAAGGACTTTGTTAAACAAGACAAAACACAAAAGCCATTAAGGGAAAAAAGACTGATAATTATGACCTCATCAAAATTTAGAACTGCTGTTCAACAAAGGATATCACGAAAGTTAAGATAAGCAACACACTGCCAATTTTTTAAAAAAATATATATTCTGGAGAATATAGTCACAACATGTAAAAGAAAGAACTAAGACTCAATGTATAACTATTCAAATCATTAAGAGAAAGGTAAAATAAATTACATGCTACAAACATCTTATTGCATGTATCAGGTTTTTTTTAATATGAGGTAGTTTTACATGGATAGAGGGGGAAAAGTCTTCAACATAATGGCACGTGGAAAAAAAATGATGAATAATATAGTATGATGCCATTTAGGAAAAACAAAACCTCCCCAAATGAGAAGCCCTGATGGACGTACACCAAACTGATAAAGAAGTTACCTCTGGGGAGAGGTGTGGGATTGGGGGGGAATGTCAAAGTGGGGAGACTTTCACTTTAACTGTTTTGGGTGAAAATTGTCACCAGATTATATCATGTTACTTTTATAATTAAAAATAAACAACAAAATGAAATGTGCAGACCTTGATTAGAACATTTTAAGAGCTGTAATGGTTACTTTGTGGACAACTGGGGAAATCTGAACGTGTATGTTAGATAATATCATTGTGGTTATATAGGATATTTTTATTTTTAGGAGTTGCTTGCTGAAGTATTTAGGGGTAAAGTGTTAAGAAGTCTTCAACTTTCAAATGGGAAAGGATGAAAGGAAGGGAGGAAGGAAGGAAGGAAGAGAGGAAAGAAGGAAGGAAGGGAGGAAGGAGAGCAGGAGAGAGGAGGAAAGGGGATGGGAATGGGAGGAGAGGGAAGAAGGCAAAGAAAAAAACATGTTAAAGTAAAATGATAAAACAAGAATGTTAATCACTGGTGAATCTAGATGAAAGGTATATGGGTGATCAATGTACTATTCTTCCAATTTTTATGCAGGTTAAAAAAAAAAAAAAAAAAAGAAGGGAAAGAAAGAAAGGTGGGCAAAACACGCCTCCCCCCCACCTTAGCTGGAAGGGATCAGTTTCTCCCTTGAACTCTTACAATAGTTAACAATGGCACTCATAGTACTAGCGATCACCTCTGAGAAAGTGACATATTCCCCATAAGCTCCTGAAAGGTAGAGGCATCTGTCAATTCTTTGCCCCCATCTCCATGCCTCACATGATGCCCAGCACAGAGCAGGCAGTGGCAAGTATTGGCAGGAAGTGAGTCCACGTAGGCTGAGAAGTGTGTCACATTCGCTTACAAGGCTGGCAGATACAAAGCCAGGGCCTGGAACTGCAGCACCCGTTCTGATGAGAAGTATGACAGGTGTGTCTCCTGGCTGCTCAGGCTGGTCCCAGCAGGAAGTCACCCAGGGCTGCAGCCAGGTCTTTCTAGTGGCACTGCTGAATGGAATTATAGTCTGAGAGTGCTGTCAGAAAATGCCTAATGGTTTTCAGGTTGATACTGTGTAAACTACCAAGTCGTAGAAAGTAAAAGGCCCTAATAACCCCTTTCCTTTTGATCCTTATGATGACCCTAGGAGATAAAAGTATTATCTCCGTTTGACAAATGAGGAAACAGGCTCAGAAGGGAAGTGACTTCTCCAAAGTCACACAGAGAGTAAATGAACTCAATCCCATGACTTCAAGTCTCAAGTTCTTTCCACGAGACCATGCTGCCTTCTCTGGGGTCTGACTCCTAACCAGGAGAGGAAGACACTTACCTGATTCAGTCTTGCTCTGGACTACATCTCCCCACACTGTGAGATCACCACTGGCAGCTTGGGCTTATTGTTGGGGCCTGTGGGAACATTCTAGGAGAGAAAGCACCGTGGAGATTCACCCACTGAGACACACACTCACCAAATATTTACTGATGCCTGCCAGCCTCCGTGTAAGGACTGAGGACACAGAGACCGATGTGACAACAGTCCATGTCCTAGCAGACAGGTAAAGCACATAATACAGATCAAAGAGAAGATATACAACACTTAAAAAATATCAAACCTGTGAAATGTAACAATGTAATAAGTTATAAGAAAGAGTGTACATAGGGCAGAAGAAGCATTTAACCTGCTGCTCAAAGAGGTCAGGGAAGGATTTACAGAACAGGGGATTATTTGAGCTAGGCCTAGAAGGATGAATGGGATCCCATCAAGAGGAAAAGAAAGGAGAAGAGCATGCCAGGGAGAGGAAAGAGCATGAGCAAAGGCTCAGGGGCTGAAGGAGCAAGAGGTGGGGACATGTATGGCATATTTAGAAAAGAGCTAGCAGCCCAATGCAACTGGAACATGGAGGAGACAGTGGACTGGGCCATGAAGGACCCTAACTGCAATGCTGAGTGGGATTTGACCACGCAGGTAAAGGAGCCACCAGAGGCCACACCTCAGTGTGTGCTAGAGAGGCTAACTTACAGGCAAAGAAAACGTGGGAGGCATGTGGTCTCCCCTCCCTTTTCCTGAGGGAGGCCATGTCACTGGAGGCAGTGAAGACTGGGCCTAACAAACTGGAGCCCACTCATGGTTCTCCAGCTCCTGGACACTAGTCAGGTAATACGAGACCAAATGGCTGAGAAAGAGACAATCAAAATAGGACTCACCTCAATTTTTCTCATCACTAGAAGTCCATCAATGATTTTCCCTGTAGGAAGAGTATGAGCTAGACTTTACTATTCTCATGTGCAGAGCATTTTCTAACTTCCAATGCCCATTCTTAGCCATTATCCCATTTGATCCTTGCACTAATGTCAGGAAATTCAGATTGAGTCTAAGTGAAATGGCTTGCCCAAGGTCACAGGTAGTAAGTAGCAGAGTCAGGGCTCAAACCCAGGTCTGAGAGATCTCAAAGCCCCACTGTACCACCTGCCTCTGTGTGGAATTTCTTCAGTGCTACCATCCAGGTTTCCACCCAGACATACTTATTACCCAAGTGGTGACACTATATCACATGGGCCCTTCATCCTTTCCTCCAGTTCTCTAACCATACATGCTCCCCACTTCCCACCACTTTCACCTTCCCTACTATTACCCAAAGCAGTTATGCACTCTTGGCATGAGAATTCGGGGGCTGGCTCCTCTGGCAGTCCCACTCCAGGCGAAGGGGGCCTGGACTATGGGACAGGAGCAGGACTCACCAAACACTACATGCTTCCCGTCCAGCCAATCACACTTAGAGCAGGTGATGAAGAACTGGCAGCCATTTGTGCTGGGACCACTGTTGGCCTGACGGAAACCAAATATACATGCAGTGAGTTTTCCTGGCCATGCTAGCTGGAGGGCAAGATTCCCAAAAGATTCCTCCATGCTTTCTTTCAGCAAACCTTACTGAGCATCTATTATGAGCCAGGGCCCAAGCTACAAGCCAAGGATACAGAGATGAACAGGACACGCAATCTTTGCCCTCAAGGAGCTATTCTTGAGTAAATATACATCTCTCTTATAGTGTGAATTTTTATAATGAGAACAATTGTTGATGGGAACTGCATTTATTAGCCCAATACTGTTTATAACTGGATTATAGCTACAAATTAGCTACCAGCTGAGCAAAGGACTGCTACCTACGCCATAAGCTGTTTTGTCTGAATGGCTTTGTACTATATCATAACAATGGCATTAAAAAAAAATTTAAGAAGGTGAAAGAAGTTGCTATGCTAGGAAAAAAGACTAATTTAATCAATATTTGCTTTTTACAGCTACACCCAAAATGCTTTATTATCAAATTTTACAGGAAAAAAGTATTTTTTTAAATTGAAAACCTGAAACTCTCTAGCCATATCCTTTCCCTTTTCCTCCCTTGAAATTGTTTTCACATCATTAAATTTGATAATGCATTATAAAAAAACAGGCTATAATTACAATGCAGTAATATACTTTGTAAAGAGACATCTGACCTTCATACAAATTGTACTTTTCTACATTATACAACTGATATTCCTAAACGACCTTTAAAATGCTAAAATCAGACTTTTGGTTATCAGCAAACCCACGTTAAGTTTCAGCAGCACTGCCTTAAAACGGTGTCTGTGTAACTATGTGAATGTTTTCTTGTATACTTCCCTTATTTTGGGGAAAAATGGGTAGAAAATGGAAAACTAAAAGGACTGGTACTATTAAAACGACAGGTCTCATAAAATTAATACCACTGAGGCAAAACTGGAAATTATTAGATAGGTCCCTAGCCTTAATGGGATGCTTAATGGATTTAAATTGATTGATTCTGTGTTCAACTGTGAAGGAATAAAAATGTGCATGAAATACATTAAAGATATTGTCTAGGATCAAGCCCTAATTAGGGATTTTATATTATACTTTAGAAATTCCCTATGTAAGATGAGGCTATTTTTGTTTTTTGTACATTTATTCAGCAACATTTCAGATATGAGAGTAAGGCACTGCCCAAGCCAGTCAAAGTAGACCTACGCTTTGGAACGAGGGATAGATTTCACTGACTCTGGAATATTCCACATGTCAGAGAAGGCTGGGACCAGGGATGGACTTCCCAAGGGTCCTAATTCTTTTCTTCCTCTCTCCCTCCCTCCCTCCTTCCTATCTTACTCTCAATGTATAAACATTTATTAGCAAGCAGGTAGGAAAACAGTCAGACAACATGTTTCATAGTTCAGGGAACACTCCCTGTCCTCAGGCACTCATTTATGCATCCTTCCAGGCAGTGGAGCTTACTGGTTTAGAGGATAAGCTCTGGAGCCAGGTGACCTAGCGTGAATCCTAGCTCCACAACTCACTGTGTGCCCTTAGTTTAGTCACATAATCTCTCTGTGCCTCAGTTTCCTCATTTGTACGTATCCCAAAGGATGTTGAGAGAATTAACATGAATTCATTCATACAATGAATTAATGCAGATAAGGCACTTGTTGAGTAAGTGCTCAATAAATGTTAGCCATGGTTCTGATTATCTTTCAGTCACTCATCAGCATCTGCTCAGCTTCTTACTGTGTCCGGTAGTAAGGCCTGGAGATCAATGAGACCCAGTCCCTGCCCTTGAAGAACTCATGATTTAGTGGAGGATAGAAGCAGAAACAATTATGCCACAAGATATGTGACAGTACAACTCAACCAGCGTCGGCCTGGAGCAAGCAGAGCCAAGGCTTCCTTCGATTTCACCGACTCCTCCACAGATGCTAACACAGGGCCATATACCTAGAGGGGTTCCAATCCTCGTGGTGAAGATCCGAGCTCACCTAAGCCGCTTCTGCACTCTTTACCTGCACTTGCCCAGGCTGGCTTTCCTACAAGGGGGCTTGCACACTGTTTGTTGTGCTAGTCTTGCCCAATTATTATGGCAGCCTCCTAGCTGGCCCCTCTGCCCCAGCCACTCCATTCCCCTCTGCCACTCACACTGCAGCCAGGGTCTTTGTCCAAAAACACAAAGTTGATCAACGCTGCTCAAAAAAGTGTATGGCTCTCCATAACCTATGAAACAATGTCCACACACCTCAGCCTTATTTTGGCATTTAAAGCCCTTCAGGAGCTAGACCCACTGCCTCTCTAGTTGTCTCTACTGGCCATTCCCTCCCCCACTCACATCCTATGTTTTCATCACCTTCATCACTTTCTGTTCCTTCTATGCCACCCTGCTATTTCATGGTCACATATTTTTGCAAAGGCTGTTTACTTGACTTGAAATGTCATTTGGTATAGAATTCCTTCAAGAACTCACATGTCCTCTCCTCTGTGAAGCCTTGCCTGGCCCCTGACAGCCATTATCCTCACTCCTTGGGCCCCTCACAATACTTTTACATACACTTCACGCACTGATGGAATCTGGGACTTGTCATTGTGCATGTGTGATGACCCCATTAGATGTTAAGTGTGATGAGGACAGGGATCAGGTCTGTATCCTTATGCCTTATCATGAGGCCTGAAACAGAGTGGGTGTCAACAAATCTTTCCTGGATGAATGCCTGAATAGATGACTGGAAGAGTGGCCGAGCAGGACAGACAACGTGCCTGTTAATACTGGATCTGGGGGAGTGAGAGTTGGAGCACTGACAGAGGGAAATGGGTAACCAGGGGGAGGGAGGGCAGGTTGAAGAGTGACAGGGAGGCAAGTGGGGAGGGTAACGGAAAATGAGGAGTGAGGGGAGAATAAAGAGAAGTGAAGGGGGAGGGAGCACAGAGGTGAATGAGCAGGGGTGGGTAGATGAGGGGGTTTAAATGAGGCAGGCAGGGGGACCATGAAAGGGAGATGTGTGAGTAGAGGTTATAAATAGGGAGGGGCAAGGAATGGTGAGGAGCAAAAGCGGGTGAGCAGCCAGGAGGCAGAGTGAGTGAATGGGTGCTGTGTGAGTCCTGGTGAGTCGAGCAATGAGCAAGTGAACGTTGGGTCTTGAAAGCACAACCAGCTACATTCTGAGCAGCAAGGCTAAATGCCCAGCCACAGATCCTGGCTCAAACAAAGGTAAGAAAACAGACATCAGAGTCCAATTCTGGTTCTGCAGCCTGCTGGTGGGGCCAGCCCAACAAAATCAAACCAGACTGAGGGAGGAGGTGGGCGTGACCGAGGTGAGTCCTGGGCCAAGGAAGAGAAGGAAAGCATTTGCTTCCATCCCAAGAAACAGCACCGGGCCTCAAGAGGGGTCCAGAAACCAGCTGGCTTTAAATCTAACCCAAAACCTTGATTGGACCTCACTTACCATGGAAAGTAGGCCTGGAGCTGAGTGTCTAAGTTTAAAATTTTCATCTGCAAATGGCCCCCGGTAAATACTGGCGACTCCAGTACCATCACCCTGAGCAGAAAGAAGGGAAGTGTTAGTAATTTGTGAGTGCTGGGCCCCCTGGAGCCTGGAGGAACACTGCTGCACCTAAAGCCTGGCTTCGTTCAAGTCCACTCTTACTCTTGTAGGTCATGTAGGCATCCACGTCTCTTTGATCCTACCCTGCAATCAAAGCAAGCCCCAAGCAAGGCACCTGCAGCCCACAAACTGGCCAGGATATCTCACAGATTAGGTAAAACAGGTCACAGCTGGGCCTCTAGAAAAACAGGTTAAGACACAAAGTAGGGAACAACAGTACAGTGATCATATACATAATCCTTCCCATTCCCAAACACTCTCAGGCCTGCAATCCTAGAAAAGTACCCACTTACTGACTACTGCCCCACTCCCCCAAACTATGTGGGTGGGTGGGCTCTTGGAAGTCTAGTGTGTATAACATGATGCCACCCTCCTGGCCAAAGTTGATTGGTTCAGGGGAGAACGCCTAACTCACGCAGGGCCAACTAGAGTTCGCTCTCTGAGGATCACGAAGCAGGACAGATGTTCTCTTTGAGGGTGAGCTTGTGTCATGTAAACCTGAAGGTGGATGTGACTATCTTCAGCAAGGTGGATTGGAGAACAGAAAGAAAATGCAACACATGTATGTAGAGACCACTAGCGAAATAGAGAGAAAGGACTACTTTGGTTCTATGTGGCTTTCCAGTTCATAGTTCTATTTCATACTTTGAGTTCCATGAAACACCTGATCATAAATCCTCAATTTATGCTTAAATCAAGCTTTATTTGCATTATCTCTTTGCTCTTCCAACAACCCTGTGGAATAAGCATTATCATCTTCTCCATTTTTCAGGTAAGCAAACTTAAGTCAGGGTAATAAAGCAACTTGACGAAGGCCATTATCTGCAGAAGCTGAAACAGAATCCCTGAGATTTAAAGGTAATGTTGAGAGGCTGCCAAAGACCAACCTCTCCCAGCCAGTCAGTAAAGGAAAATAATACAGGGTGCATAGTAGAAAGGGAAAACAGTGACCTAGTGCAGAATCAAAGGTCCCTTTTTGGGGCAAAGGCTACCACCAAGGGATTAACATAAGCCAGGGAAGAAAGGAAAACTATCAAATTCAAACCTTTACTTAACTAAAAATTATCAATAAAACCAAACTCTGTATAGTGGAAAGACCTGGATTTGAGTTCCAGATCTATCATTATGAGCTGGGGACGCCACTTCCTATCTCTGAGCCTCAGTTTCCTCAACTATCAAGTGAGGATGAAATCACCTACTCTTTCCAACATTGCCATGAAGATCCATGAAGATCCAATTAGATAGTGTCTGAGAAAGGCACTTTGCAATAGATATGGCACTGTATAAATGTGAGCTATCATAGCTTTAACTCCACGTAAATACATATAGACAGAAGGAAGAGATAAGAAGGTCATTTCCAGGGCCGGCCCCGTGGCTTAGTGGTTAAGTGTGCGCGCTCCGCTGCTGGCGGCCCGGGTTTGATCCCGGGCGCGCACCGATACGCCACTTCTCCAGCCACGTTGAGGCGGCGTCCCACATACAGCAACTAGAAGGAGGTGCAACTATGACATACAACTATCTACTGGGGCTTTGGGGGAAAAAAAGTAAATTAAAAAAAAAAAAAAAAAGAAGGTCATTTCCAATTTCCCAATAAACCTAGGAGACAAATCAGTTACTACATCATTCTCTATAGTCACAGTATCTATTGCTCTCCAGAAGACAGAGCAAAGAAGAGGACAAAACTAATGTTCAAAGCAAATAATAGAAAGCAACTTAAATCTTCAACAATAGTGGATTGATCACATAAATTCATCGTCTATTCATAATGGAATATTAGGTACTATTAGAAAGAATGTTTTGGAGGAAGACTTAATGACAAGAAATGTAGACAACCATTAAGTACAAAAAAATAAAACATACGTATGATCTTAAGTCTGTTAAAAATTATATTTGACATACATACATATGCAACGAGAAGAACGGCAGCTGTAAACTAAAATGCCAAGAGTATATTCCTTGAGAGGCAAGATTCCTTGAGAGATGATTCATTTTCTTTTTTGCACTTTTCTTTTGCAACCAGAAGAAAACAAAAAACAAATATCCAAACAAATATTCTTCACCCAACTTATAGAAGGGCTCAAATTCTGCTTTTTCTGCCTCTTGCTCATTCTATTTTTTCTTCCCTAAGGGTAGCTCTGAGCAGTTGCTTCTCTCTGACACTCAGCCTTCTGGCTGATCACTATTGCCTAACACTGGGGCTATGAGCAAGTGATTGGATGTGCCTGGCAATGACCAGCAAGAAGCTGGTCCTGTCCCTGCTAAGACAACATGGCAATACAGGAGTCTATGGGAAGAAAGGAAAGAGGGCAGAGAAAGCTTCTCAGCCCTCCTTACCAGCTAACAAAAAAGTATATGGTCACCCCAAGCCCTACTACCATCAACTGTGTGCAAACTTAAATGCCTACAGGGCAGATGACATAAATAAGGGAAGCAGGTGGTGGGGACTGTGGTGAAATGGCAACGACACACTGTCTAAAGGGAGCAGTTACTTGATTCCAACCAATTGTCTCTGCATGAGAAACACAGGCCTAGTGCACTCCTATTTTCCATTTTTTAGAGAGAAAACAAAACTCCGGAATTTTCAGGTGAAATTTCCCAGTTTTACAACATCATACAGGTGAAACAAAACACCTGAAAGCCTGATTTGGCCTAGAATCTGCCACTTTGTAACCTTACTTACATAGGAAAGAGCAAGGTCTAAAAAACTCATAAGGGGCCAGCTCTGTGGCCTAGTGGTTAAGTTTGGCGTGCTCTGCTTTGCTGCCTGGGTTCAGTTCCCAGGCATGGACCTACACCACTCCTTGGTGGCCATGTTGTGGTGGTGACCCACATAGAAAATAGAGGAAGATTGGTAACAGATGTTAGTTCAGGGCAAATCTTCCTCACCAAAGAAAAAAAAAAACCTCATAAGAGTCAAACTAAATAAACATACATATGAAGGAGAAAGAATGTCTCCCAGATCCAAGAAAATAGCACTATGACTAACCAAATGATAATAACAAAGACCATGCACAGACGTGGGTGGGTAAAGACAAAAGATTTAAGAACAAAATGTGGTTTATATGGCACTCTCCAAGATCAGGGGGAGAGGAGGCTTGATATTGGGGACACATACAGTCCAGTCACAAGAAAGCTATGCTTAGTAGAGAAGGACTATTCCACTGGGCTTCCCCAGAGAACAGAGGAACCCCCGCCCCCCACCCCCCGCCGAACTATCTGCCTCTCTTGCTCTGACTCTTTGTCCACCAATCAACTTCTGATTAAAAACTCAGCTTTCCAGGCACTGTGATACCAGAAGTGGAAGGGAAAATGGGGCATAAGCATTTAGCTCAGTGGAAAGGAACTTACCACCATTTAGGAGAAACAAATTGCATCTGATTTCTAGCTAAGTTTCATGTGAGTAATTTGAGTCTGTCATGGATCCTCTATAGGTATGCTGGGAAAGTTCAGTTTCTGGCTGTGAAAGGCTGAGATTTGGAAGTTAGTGATTCATTCAAAGTGCTGATGCCTGTCATTTAGTGGTACAGTGAGTACTAAAGGACAGTCTCTCCCTGGCCCCTCGCCTCATCTACTTTGGCTATTGTTCTCAAGCCTTAAGACTGGGTCCCTGTAGTAAAAACAGTAGCAGCAGCAATAACAACAACAAACAAACTCATAGGTCTTTGACAGGAAAGGAACAATACTTACGTTAACAAAATCCCCACCCTGAATCATGAAATCCTTTATGACCCTGAAACAGAAAACAGAGGATCCTGAAAGAAGACTCTGTGTTTTAGAAAAATATTCCCTTAGTCATTGTAGTTTACATTAATATTGACTTCAAAACACAATGTTTATCACTTTGGCTTTTAACAAATCTTCAAATCAGTACCGGACAGTTCTATCTTCCTCTAAAAAGTCTAATCCCCCAAGGAAGTCATTCTAAAAGCCCCCAGGATGGCTCTCCAAAGGCCTTACCTGTGGAAAGTGCTCCCTTTGTATCCTATAGGAACCCCATCTTTTCTATAACCAAAAAAAAAGAAACTTGGAATGATGACAGGTAATCATAGGCCTTTCCAGTCTACCACACACTGGAGCCAAAGGTACTCTCCTAAAGATGGTCGGGAGAAGAGAGATAACGAAGGCAAATGAACTGAGGATATACCCTTGGGGTATCGCCTTCTATCACTGTCACCAGCAATCATTCAAGGCCTGACAGTGGTTCCCCAATACCCTCGCTGCGGCCTCAAGACACCCCTCAGGAGCAGAGAAGCCAACCACGTCAGAGACTGACCTGAATTCTCCAGTGCAGAACTGCCTGAAAGGGAAGAGTGAACGATTCGGTCACCATGACATCACAGTTCCAAGCACCCCTAATCTCCAGAGGGCAGGGCACAGACATTGGCGCCAGCAAGCCCACCAAGCCGCCACCCAGCGTCCAGACACCCAAGCATACATATTAGCAACATAAATTGACAGGGGAACAGTGAAAACGGTGACTATACAGACAGAGCGATACCCAGAGGAATCAGACCTCAAGGGCAGGGAGTGGACGGAGAGAGGCAGGCGGACCATCCCGCAGACCGGGGCCCAGCTTCTGGCTCGGTTAACCCGGCAGAGCCGCAGCATCTCCTTACCTAAAATTCTCGGCCGTCTTAGGCACAACGTCTGCAAAGAGCTCGATCTTCATGCGGCCCACTTCCTGCAACGGGGAGACGGTCAGAAGGCCCAGTGCGAGCCCGGGGTCCCTGCCCGCGCCGCTCGGCCTCCCACGCCCGCCTCCACAGCCTCCGCTCGGCTCCGCGCAGCTGCTCCACCAGCTGAGCGCCGGGACCGCCAAGAGTCCTCCTCCCCTCCTGCCGCCCCGCAGGTCGACGGCTTCTGGTCCCATTTCACTTTCTGGCTCCCCGAGTCCGCAGCCCTGGGTGGGTGAGATCTGCCTGCCCGACCCCCTGCAGCCTCCCTTCGGCGCAGGGCTGGCTGGCCGCCCAGGCCTCACCTGGCCGCCAATGCTGACATCAAAGAACACCACGGGATTGACAGGGCTTGAATTTGCCACCGCCATGGCTCCGACCCGGAAGCAGAAGACGAGAGGGCGCAGTACCGGCGAACGGAAGCCCCGCTCGGCGGGTGTGTTCTCCAACGCAGGCGCGGGAAGAGCCGCCCGCGGCCCCGCCCCCGGAAGCCCTGCCCCCCGCGCAGCGCGCTCTGCCTCCCTCGCCGGAAGTGGGCGGTGTGCGCGTGGCGGGCCGTTCTTTCAGTGCTGACCGTGAAGGGGTCAGCAAGCTGTAGCTTCTTGGCGTCTCCCCCGCATGTGGTTGGGGAGAGGTAGGTGGAACAGGGAGGGTAGAGAAAAGCGTGGGCACTTCTTTGCTCAAGGTAAGCAGGCATCCCACTCAATGCCTACACCGAGTGCGGTACAAATTATTCGTGCTCAGGCTAGGGGCTCCGGGCTCCGCAGTCTCCAGGGCCCTGGTCAGCCCTTGCGCCGCCACACATGCCGTTTCTTACCCCTGCCCGCCAGTCTGAGCCCCACGAAGGCAGGAGCTCTGCTCATCCTCAGCGCTTACAGCCGGGCATGTTAGGCTTGCTCAGTAAATTCGCAGCCCTGCCTTGAAGTCAGGACACTAGAATTTTAGTTCTGGTTCTGCGAGAAGCTTCCACTTTTGTCACCTCCGATTGATTTTCTGCAGAGCAGCTAGAGCTTTAAAATGAATTTGCTTATAAGTCACTCCTGGCTTCCCCTATTTAGAGTAAAATCCAATTCCTTACATACGAAAGCCTACATTACGTTTCATTATCGGCAGCCACCTACCTGGCCTCATTTTGTATCACTTGCTCTCTGTTACTCTGCTCTGGCCTCTCTCTTCCTCGAGGCTACGGAGATCGATACTCTTTCTAGGGCCTTGGTACTAGCTGTTAATTGTCTTTAATACTCTTCTAGATCTTAATGGGAGTGGAGAATGCTCCTTATAGTTCAGGTCTCAGCTCAGATGCCACTCAGATGGGAACATTGCACCCAATCTAAAACAGCCCTCCACCCCTCTTTCAGATACATCACTGGTTTATTTTCTTCCTGCCACTCAGCATCCAAAATTATATCATTGGTCTCCCCACCTCACCCCCTGCTGCACACGCATATACCTTCCAAAATAACAGCAGAACTTCGCGAAAGCAGAGACTCTCCTTGTCTGCTTCACAAGTGTAGCTACAGTGCCTACTACTGAATAGCACATAGCAGAGATTCAGCAGATTCAAGAATTGAGTGAAAGAAGGTGACCTTGGACAAGGCTTGGAGTCAGAGCATGTATTCGATATCACAGCTATTATTTCCTATATCCTTTGATCATCTAATTCAGTGGTCTGTGGAAGGAAGAGTTACACATAAAATTCAGTGTGTCTCAACTCAAGGGGTCCTTTTTATTTCTGGTTACTTTCCCTCTCCCCTTGGTCTCCCTCCCTATCTCCAACTGAAGAGGAAGAGAATAAGGAGGGAAAGGAAGGGGCCAGCCTGTGGCTTAGCGGTTAAGTGCGCGCACTCTGCTGCTGGCGGCCCGGGTTTGGATCCCGGGCGTGCACCAACGCACTGCTTCTCCAGCCATGCTGAGGCTGCGTCCCACATACAGCAACTAGAAGTTCTAGATGTGCAGCTATGACATACAACTATCTACTGGGGTTTTGGGGGAGAAAATAAATTATAAAAAAAAAAAAAAGGAGGGAAAGGGGAGGAAGGGAAAGAAGTAGCAGCAGGAATCACCCTTCAGTTTAATTTTGTACCAACTATTTTAGAATAAATTTTTAAAATTGATAATATCCAATGTTGATGAGGTTGTGGAAAAACTAGTATACTCATAAACTGCTAGTGAAAATAAATGATATTTAGCATTTATTAAGCAGTTACTAAGTGCTAAATACACGCTTCATTTCATTTAGTCCTCACAACCCCAAGGGATAGGAACTATTATTGTTCCCATTTTGGGGATCAAGAAAGTGAGGCCTAAACAGGTTGACTAACTTGACTATGGAAACAGTATGCACAACCTTTTTTTAAAGCAATTCAACAAGTGATGTACCAAAACTATATAACATTTATATCCTCTGACCCAATTATGCCAATCTTGTGAATTTGTTTTCTGGAATAATTCAAGAGAAGAAAAGAGCTACATTCACCAAGACTTTCACCACAGCATAATCTTAAATACTTAAAAAGTAGAAACAACTTAAATGTCACACGACAAGAGAATTTATACAATGTCAACGTGATAGATAGAATACCACGTGGCTATGAAAGAATAGTTATGAAGACTGTTGAAATGTAAGAAAATGTTTTATGATATATTAAATCAAAAATCAGACTATGAAAATGAATATACAATATGATGACCATTTAAAATATATGCATTTGAATAAGAACCAGAAGGGAATAACTCCAAAATGAAAATAGTTGTGTTAAGAATGTGGGATTAGGGCCGGCCCCATGGCTTAGTGGTTAAGTGTGCGCGCTCTGCTACTGGCGGCCCAGGTTCGGATCCTGGGCGCGCACCGACGCACCGCTTCTCCGGCCATGCTCAGGCCGCGTCCCACATACAGCAACTAGAAGGATGTGCAGCTGTGACATATAGCTATCTACTGGGGCTTTGGGGGGAAAAATAACTAAATAAAATCTTTAAAAAAAAAAAAAAAGCATGTGGGATTATAGGAGGGTTTTTTTTCTTTTTAAAGTGTTTGCTTTATTTTACTTTTAAAAAATAAATAAGAAAATACTCATGATAATAGTAAAGGATGCTGAATTAGCCATATATGTGCTCTGCTAAATAGGAACCTAATTAAGCCATTGAACTTGAACTTAAGTCATGACATTGATCAATACAAGGCATTTGAAGATATCAAACAAACTTGAGAAATCCATTTTTAGAACTGGTTTAATGAATTTATCAGCAATTTTGAAGACTCCTAGTTGATGTCCAATGGGGATCTGTGGTAACCCTTCTCCATGTCATGTTCCACCTTCACGCTCAAGCTTTAAGTTAGCAGTTTTGATCGGTCTAGTTTTAGACATCAGTGATTTTATAGTTCTGACTTTTGGTCTTGTTCTTGGATGCAATGTGTCTCTTTCAAAGAAGCCACATTTACGTATCCAGCTTTGGAATTCTGTGAACACGAAAAAGACTCAAGGGAGTTGGGGTTTGCCATGGCTTCTTCTGTCTTATGTTCTTCAGTCTCTTGAAGACTTCCAACTGACTCTACCAAACCTGTTTCTGATAAACTAAAAAAGGCCACATATGAGGACTTCATGCAGATAGGATCTCGTGGTAGCACTCTGCAGTCACGGGGATAAGGCATCAATAGGATTTCAGTTTTTTACAACAGTCAAACACAAGAAAACCAAATAAAATTTACTTTAAACTTATGTTTATGGGTTATTTTCTACCTTAAGTCGGGATTCTGTCAGGTGTAGGGGTGAAGCAGTGGTGAGGGAAGAAGGCATTAGAAGAAGATTTAATTACTAAATATAGAGAAAACTATCCCATGCTATGCTCTCTCAAGTCAGCAACTCAGGACTAGTTAGGCAGCCATGACTCTCAGGCATGCAGATGATTGTCTTGACTTTACTAACCTGGAGTTTGGTAACGGCAAGATTTTATTCAATGCTTCAAATTCAGGGATGTCACTAATTGTCGTTTCCTAAAGGGAAAGAAAAGATGAATATTAAAAATTATAATGATAAACCATTGGCAATATGATCCTAGAACTTATGCTTTATATATATTTTTGGTTAAAAATGTAATCCCCTCACCTCACACCTCTTAGAATGGCTATCATCAAAAAGACAAGAGATAAATGCTGGAGAGGATGTGGAGAAAAGGGGACCCTTGTGCACTGTTGGTGGGAATGGAAACTGGTGCAGCCACTATGGAAAATAGTACAGAGGTTCCTCAAAGAGTTAAAAATAGAAATACCATATGATCCAGCAGTTCCACTTCTGGATATATATCCAAAGAAAATGAAATCACTGCCCTGAAGATATCTGTACCTCATGTTCACTGCAGCATTATTTACAACAGCAGAGACATGGAAGCAACCCAAGTGCCCATCGACAGATGAATGGATAAAGAAATTGTGGTGTGTATACACAGTGGAATATTATTCTGCCATAAAAAAAGAGAATGAAATCCTGCCATTTGTGACAACATGGATGGACCTTGAGGGCACATGCTAAGTGAAGTAAGTCAGACAGAAAACGACAAATACTGTATGATCTCACTTATATGTGGAATCTAAAAAGAAAACCAAATTCATAGAACCAGAGATCAGACTTGTGGTTGCCAGAGGTGGGGGTGAGGAGGAGGGTGGGGGAATTAGGTGAAGGTGATCAGAAGGTGCAAACTTCCAGTTATGAGATAAATAAGTTCTGGGAATGTAATCTATGATGTGATGACTATAGTTAACAATACTGTATTGTGTATTTCAAAGTTGCTAAGAGAGTAGATCTTAAAAGTTCTCATCACAAGGGAAAAAATTGTAACTACATGACATGATTGATGTTAACTAATCTTATGGGGTAACCATTTTGCAATATATACATATATCAAATCATTATGGGGGCCGGTGGCATAGCAGTTAAGTGCGCATGCTCCGCTGCGGCGGCCCGGGGTTCGGATCCTGGGCGCACACCGACCCATGGCTTGTCAAGCCATGCTGTGGCAGCATCCCATATAAAGTGGAGGAAGATGGGCATGGATATTAGCCCAGGGCCAGTCTTCCTCAGTAAAAAGAGGAGGATTGGTGACAGATGTTAGCTCAGGGCAAATCTTCCTCACACAAAAAAAATCATTATATTGTACACCTTAAACTTATACAATATTATATGTAAATTATATCTCAATAAAACTGGAAAAAATTTAATCCCTAATACCTACAGAATATTTGGTAATAATAAATGTCATACTTTTTATATTAGTACTTTCACTACTACGTTGCTTTTTATATCTACTTTCCTACATGAATTACCTTGTATTAGTTGATATAATCATTCTATTTTATTTACTTAGGTAGGTTTTTACTTAATACTATGGTAAACATTTTCTGTCCCTTTAAATCATGGGGGGGGAAAAAGGATATGTTTGACTTTAAAAACCAAATACACTTCTTCAGAAAAACAGATCAACATAGACCAAATTTTACATACAATTACAGGGGTTTACTGATTCCCCTGAACTTGGACCTCAGTTTAACCTTTGATATAGACCAACCAGTTTCTGTGAGAAATTCTTAGTTATCCTGAAAGAAATGAGAAGCTTATATAAGGAGGAGAGAAAGCTATAATGTATTGGAAATTTTCCTGGACTGGGAGTTAGGAGACCAAGGCTTGAATCTTGGCTCTACCAGTTAGACTCTGGCAACCCCTTCACCACTCTGAGTTTTGTTCCCTACATCTAAAATGTAAGATAACAATTAATGCCTAATCTTTCAGGGTTGTTGTGAAAATTAAGTAATATAAGCATTCCTAACCTATAGGAGGAACTCAATAAATGTTCAATATAAGAATAAGTGATGCATATGCACTGAGAAAAAGGAGCCATCATTTATTGAATGCCAACTACTTGCCAAGCAATATACTAGGTAATTTATGTGCAGTATTCTACTTTATCCCCAATGACCATCTTTGTAAAAAAAAAATATACACATATGTATATATATATACACACATATACATATACATTTATTTATTCTTGTAATAGCTTTATGGGATATAATGCACATACCACACAGTTTACTCATTTAAAGTGCATAATTCAATGGTTTTTAGTATATTCACAGAGTTGAACAATCATTACAATGATCAATTTTAGACCATTTTCATCACCCTCAATATAAACTCAATACCTTTTAACTACAACCCACTATCCCTCAAGCCGTCAGCCCTAGGCAACTACTAATCTACTTTCTATGTCTATAGATTTGCCTATTCTGGACATTTAATATAAATGGAATGATACAATTTGTGGTCTTTTGTGACTGGCTTCTTTTTTACTTCACATAATATTTTTAAAGTTCGTCTATGTTATAGAATGGATCAATACTTCATACCTTTTTATGGCTAAATAATATTCCATTGTATGAATATACCACATTTTATTTATCGATTCATCAGTTGATAGACATTTGGGTTGTTTATACCTCTTGGCTATTACAAATAATGCTGCTATGAACATTCGTGTACAGACTTTTGTGGGGAACAGCCACCTTTGAGTGTTATTACTTCATTTTCCCAGATGAGGGAACTGGAAGGTAAATAAGGTCTCCCTTCTTCACACAACTAGTAAAATGCTGAGCTGGGATTTGACATATAAGGTGAAATGAGAAAAACTATCAAGGACACAAAGCAAGATTTTGAGAGGGGAGGATTCAGAAAAAGCTTTATGAAAGAGAAGGTATTTAGGTTGAATTCTAAGGGACAGTAGGAACCAGCCAAGAGAAAATCTGGGGGAGGGAAGTCATGGGAGAAGGCAATGGAGGGAGCTGATGCGTGTAGGATTCAGGGACCTGGACAGTGTGCAGCAGAGTGGAGAAGGGAACCAACGAGAGATGAGATGGGTATGATTGACAGAGGCCAGGTCATGGAGAATATGAAGACCATGTTGGAAAATTTGGGTTTTATCCTTTAGACTGTGGTAAGTCATTGCATGGTTTTGCATCATATGCTCAGATTGTACTTTCTAAAGACTTCTCTGGCTACAGGCTGTAAGAACAATAGGACTTCAAAAGACAAAAGCTGGGAAGATGGAGGAGAGGAGATGGGATGTGTCTTTCCAAGTAAAGGAAATACACAATGCAGAGGGAGGAAAGGTCAGAGCTTTTGGGGAAACAGTGAATAGATTAGTCCCATTTGATCAGGCTTGTTTGATGTCAGAAAGGTATTTGGAATATGGAAAGTTCCTATGTGGCTTCAGTTCTTCTGGCTTAGATATCAACAACTCCCGAAGCCTTCCTTAACAACCCCCAGACAGATCTAGATATCACTCCTTTTGCTTCCACAGCATTCTGGGCCTACTGCTATTGTAGAACTTATCACAATGTATGGTAGTGGCCAGTCATATGACTGTCATTCACACTAGGCCCGAGTTCTGTGAGGGCAGACACTGTATCTTGTTCATCATCATATACAAACCATAGAGGGAACAGTATGAGGCCTGGCACACTGTATGTGCTCAATAAACATTTGTTGAATGAATGAACTTGATCTTATAGAAAAGGAATTCTCTGAAGCTCTTTGAGATGAAGCACTTTGAAATCAAGCAGTGCTTCATGAAGATCAGTCTAGATGCATGGGCAGGACAGATTAGAAGAGGAGGCAAGACTGAGAGGAGATGAGTTAAGAACTTGTTGCAGTAACCCAGGTGCTAAGTGCTTGGGACACAGTGGGTAACAAGATGGACATTGTTCCTGCTCTCATGCAGTTCATAATCCAATAGGGAAGAAAGACGGAATTACAGGAAGCATATTACAGGAAGCAATATGCCTATTACAAGGCCATGTCCCTGGTTACTCCAATGCCCCTGAAAGGGAAACAGCCAACTTAGGGTATTATGACATAGTGGCTAAGAACAAGGGACTAGAGAGAGTTGGCTTCAGTCCTTGCTCTTCTACTTATTAGTTATGTGCCTTGGGCAATGATGTCATGTCACCTCTCTAGATCTTAGTTTCTTCAGCTGTGAAAATGGAATGACAGACATCAGGTAAGATTATTTGATGGATTAAATGAGATAATATACATAAAATGTTTAGCACTGTACCAGGCACATAGTGTGCACTCAACAAATGTCAAGCTGTCACCATTTTAGCCCCTGAGTTGTTACAAGGAAGGAAGAGATCTAGGATATGTCTGATCTCGAGGATCTATATACTGATCTTTTGACAGTATGTGATACTCAACTACTGAGAACCGGGAGATCTGGGCAGGGTAAGCAGTAGCTGTGTGACCTCAGACTTATCATTTAACCCCCCTGGGTTTTATCTCCCTCCTGTATAAAATGAGAGGATTGAAGTGAAGGATCCTTAAGATTCTAAGTTTAAAAAAAATTTTGGAGTTGTTTCCAATAGGTATCAAGATGTTACAAGTTGGTACCTTTGTCACACATGGAACATTGAACTTGAGGTACTACAGTCCTGACCCGTGTGACATTTCTTATCTTGATTTGAGGATAATATTATGGATCTCAAAGCCATTGGTCCTAGTGTATACTCCATTAAGGCTTCTATAGTACTTATTCATGTATGTCTGTCCTTCTCTACTAGACTGAAAGCCTCTGAAAACAGGGTCTATCTTCATATTCCTAGGACCTAGCAACGCTCCTGGAATTGATGAATGTTTGTTTAATGAATGATTAAAGTAAAACAGTAAACAACTAGACAATTGAGAACAGTTGTAGCTCAAGCAAAGACATAAACTATTGGAAATTAGGCCATATAATCTAGCGGTTCTACTTTTGACAAAAGTTGCAAAACAACTCATATGGCTTGGAAATAATCACCTTTCTGAGAGCAAACAAGATGCAGGTCTTACGCTCATAGCAATGGTACCCGACAAACAGGATCTACTGTGAAGCATCCTGGGAAGAAATGTCTAGCAGGTGATACAAGCCAGGGAAGAAAGCAAGCAGCCTCTATCCTGGATTCAGAATGCAACTCTGCTCACTGAAGTCCCTCTTCTGACTTGCTCACCAGCCAGACTCTGGACCTTGTCTGAACCTACACTGTTTGCCGCATCTCTCTGGACTTGGCTCCTTGTCTGCTTGGATTTTTGTAGCATAATTGCTGTTCTCTGACTCAGATGTTCTCCTTAGGCTTGACTCCTTGCCAGACTGGACTAGCTTCACTTTACCTCTCTGAGCCTTAGATGTGCTCATCTCTCAGAGGAGTCTAATACATGGCAAACAGGGTTGTTGAGAATGAGGCATACATGTGAAAACATTTAACATTCATTCATTCTCAAATATTTGTGGAGCACCTGTCCATAGATACAATGACATATGAGACACAACCCTTGCCCCGCAGGATTGCTGCTGAGTCGATGACAGACAGAAGTAAAAAGGCAATGACAATGTAGTGTATTAAGGAAGGAGCTATGAGGCATGCACAAATTGCTTTGGGATCACATGGGAGGAGAGAGTTCAATAAAAGCTGACCCAGTGAAGAGCAATGCTGGCCAAGAGCAGTCTCGGGGTCTGCTGGCCTGGGGTGCAGCCATTGAGCCTGTTTGCCACAGCCCAGCATGAGCCACGTGCAGACTACAGTACGAAGAAGAGAAGGGAAGAGAGGGTGCAGCGTCCTTGGCAACCCAAACTTCACACTAAGGACCTGACAGGAAGCACACGTGTTACCTCTCCTCTGCGAATCTGGATGCTCCTTATAATGCGCTCTAAGAGGCCAACCTGCTGTGTGAGCCGGAGACTGTTTTCCTGTAATTGTTTATTTTCTTTATCCAGGACAAGTACTCTAAAAATGGGATAAATCAGAGGCATCACTAACAATTTCTGTGTCATTACTAAAAACACAAAACTATGTCCCACTTCCCACTAGTTCTGGGTCTTAGCCTAGATTTTAGAACCAACTTTGGCAGACTAATTCCCATCATATTCCATGATCAAGTAAAAATTAATTAGCTTCTGGCCTGTACATAGTCATTAAATACATACTGAGAACAGAGACATACTATATGCAAGAATATGAAAGGCACACTTCCAGCCCTTGAGAAACTTCAGGAAGGAAATGAGCCCATTTAGGAGTGGGGCTGAAACAAGAGACTGCATCCCTTCAGACACTGTAGTTACACAGCCTGCATCTGGTTCTGATCTCAGTCATCCCGTACTTCGGCAGTAGTACTAGTAGTACTAGTAATAGTAGCAGCTGCATCCATTTACCAAGTACTACCATGGACTTCGGCACTGACCTATCCACACAGTAAGCACTTAAAACTTTTCATGTATTAGCTCATTTAACCCTCACAACAACCCCATGAAATAGATAGTGTTATGAAGCCTATTTTACAGATGAGGAAACTGAGGCTCAGAGAGGGGAGAGTAACTTGTTGAAGAAGGTAAAACCAGGACATTGTAGAGCTGGGATGCCAATGCAGATCTTTCCGACTTCTCAGCCTGGCTCTTAACCACTACACCAGGCTCACTCTCCAGGGCCACAGTTTATCTAGGACACATGACAGTACCATGGTTTTGATCAGAGATTTGTGTTTGAGTTCTGATTCTGCCACTTACTAGCTGTGTGACCCCTGGTAAATTACTAAATCTGAGCCTCAGTTACCTCATCTGTAAAAGGAGTAAACATGCTGCAGAAGAAACTTACTGTAAGGAAAACATCCACGTCCACTCTGGGTCACCAGAGTGGGTCTTCAGGAGGGCAGGAGGGGAAATTATTAATGTTAAGGCAGGGGTAACAAGTCAATTGTGTTGGGATGTCAGAAGCAATGACATCATTTGAGAAGGTCAATGGATTATACAGAATATACAAAAGGGAGACACAGACAGTAAAAGATAATCAGAGACTCTCCCACAGTGGCGGAAAGGAGAGCTCCTGTCTGCTTGGCAGATCCCTCCCCAGACTGCAGTGCTGTGGGGTCTCAGGCCAGGCTGCTGACGCTCACACGCTGCTCTACCACGGACCAGGCTGGGTGAGTTCCCTAAACTCGCTGACCTTAGCTTCTCATCCATAAAGTATGGCTATAATAGCGCCTCCCTTCTGGGATTGGCGTGAGGATTGAATGAATAGAGAGAGCGAGCTTAGAACAGTGACTAGCATGGAGTAAGTGCTCAAAAAAATGTTAATCACTATAGTTATGATTGGTGACACTATCTGTTAAGATCAACCCACTCTCTTTGCTCTAATTCTACACTCCAAGAAACCTTGGATTGTAACTAAATTTTCTTATAGAGAAGAGAATGCTTGGGCTGGCTGATATATGAATTTTTATCTTTTGGGCATATTTCTCATTAGAAATTAATATATTGATATCTTGTGGGTTTCATGAATTGAAGTCACTCGTATGAGCCTGGCTCTCTCTTGGTCTACCTTGATTCCATAGGTATCAAATGATAAAGATGAGTGTCAACACACACAAAGTGACAGGCCAGAATGAGCACAGCCAGGTCCTCAGGGAGGCAATGCCACCGTGAAAGAGCCTATCTGAATGGTCAGCCATGATATTTCTCTCTTTAATTTCACAACTTCTGCCACTTGTATGACCTGCTGAAAACAGCAGATGGCACAGTAACAGCTATGACAGGCCACAACCTCAAAGGACAGTCTCCGGAACGATTGCTTTGTTAAGGGAGACGCATCCTCTTTGTGGGGTTCACTGGCAACTCGGGCCCGACAGCACCCACCTGCTCTGGACTGAAGATATTATCCATTTGTTGCTGTGGATCAATTCTTCTTGCTCTGTGAGTTCCTCCAGAAGCTTCCTATTTTCTAGGAGCAGGATATTATTTTGGGCAGTGATCTGGTCCTGGAATGCCTTCTCCTAGGGATAAAAGCCCCCTAATTACCACAGTAGGAGAAAGGATTATAAATGTAAGAGCATCAGCCTGTTTCTAAACTCTGACAGCAAATTTCCCTTGTTCATTTTTTCTCTCCCCTCCTCTGGTCTGTTTTCAGCTGTTTGCTGACATTGTCCGCTAGATTGTTCTTCTATTTATTTTGGTTATTTTATGTCATGTAATTTGTTTGGATATTTACTCATTCTTTTGGGGTAACATTTAAAAATATCTGAGCACTCAACTTCCAATAAGGTCCCAATGCTCTCATCTGTATTCTAATTCCATAAGTATCAAATCACTAACAAATACAACTGAATTCTCCAGATTGAAAAAATTTTTCCATATAATACATTTCCATCTGCTTTGGACTTATAGTCTTTTTAAGGCAAAGGGAGGAAGATGGGTATTTAGCCACCTCACTTGGCAACCACTGTCAGCATCTCAGTTGGCTTGGCAAGTCAAGCATGTAAGCCAGGTACTGAGAATATCCTTGTAGTGATGATGCTGCAGTGATTTCGAGGTTGACACCATGTTTCAAAAGCAACAGTTAGTGAAGTTAGAGCTAAAATGATAAAGGAGTGTATCTTGTGAAAAAACACTAATTCTTACATTGAGTCAGTAGATATTAGTAAATCTCACTGTTGGTGAGGAGTTTAGAATCTCCAAAGTGTAGAATTGCCCTTCTCACTTCACCAATGACCTGCCAATGGTAACAGGCATGTGCCTTCACCTATTTGTGTTTTTTCGTCACCTGCCAATGGTGGGAATCAGTGGGGGTGGGAGAAGAACAATTCACCCTCTGGCAGATGGGTGGATTACAGGGTTAAGAGGGGCAACTTGCTTTCTTTCTTTTAAATAAGGTACTAATATAGATCATTCAGAAAAGACTGTCTATATATATGTAATCTAAAAAAAAAAAAGACAGAGAACAGATTGGTGGTTGCCGGAGGCAGGGGGTGGTAGGGTGGGCAAAATAAGTGAAGTGGGTCAAAAGGTAGAAACTTTCAGTTATAAAACAAGTCATGGGGATATAATGTACCAGTATCGTGACTATAGTTAATAATAGTGTACTGCATATTTGAAAGTTGCTAAGAAAGTAGATCTTAAAAGTTCTCATCACAAGAAAAAAATTTGTAACTATGTATGGTAACGGATATTAACTAGACTTATTATGGTGATCATTTCACAATATATACAAATATCAAATCATCATGTTGTATATCTGAAACTAATATAACATTATATGTCAATTATATCTCAAAAAAAGAAAGAGAAACGACTGTCCATCTATTATTAAAGAATTATAAGGAAGGAGATTACATTACGTTCTGAAACAAACCATTCCAGATTTTAAAGATTTTAAACCATTCCAGGACCCTTCAATGTCTAACAATAGTCTCCCCTGCTATAATTTGAATATATTTATGGTAAGGATTGAAAGTAGAGGCAGCCGTCCCACAAACAGTGCTCTATGCAGTTATAACTGGATTAGAAAGAAATTGAATGGGGCAGGCTACTGACACCCTGTCCTTCGGAAATACTGTATTTTTCTGAACCAAAATATCAGGAGACCAGCCCTAATAATAGGATAAAATATTTGGGGAAATCTAGTTTGGATGGTCACAACAGTCAGAGGACTCAGCTGGCTCACTGTATAAAGAGAAGGCTGAAGGAATGAAACCCAAAAAAGCAGCATTATTTTCTGGCGACTTAGTGCTTAGAAAGACCAGACTTTTTATGCTAAGGCTTTGTTCATGGGCCCTAAAATAGTAAAATCAGGACCTCCAGGTTTGTACCACTGTACATTAAAGACCTCACGTCAGTTTTCTCCAGGCTAAGTATTTCCAATTCTGTTAACAATTTCTCTTGTGAATTATGCATCCACCGATTAACATATTTCTAAGAGATTTTACACTAAAAAGAAGAAAATAACATCTATGAAAATTTATATGTGCCAGGTACCACTTTAGGCATTTCATATTTTAATCCTCACAAAAGCCTTGTAAAGTAGGGATTATTTCTCTCATTTTACAGATGAGGAAAATGACAGACAGGGCCTTGTGCAAGGTCACAGAGCTAGTAAGTGGCAGGGCTAGACTCGCATCTAAGTCTGTCTAAGGCCACAGCCCACAGCACCCTTCACGGGTGGTGAGCAAAGGTGCAACGACTCTTTCTCAGCCTCTGCTTCTGTGCCACCTCCAGGATATTTCATGGGACCTGTGGTTCTTTGCGTAGATGTATTAGTTTCCTAGGACTGCCATAACAAATTACCACAAACCGGGTGGCGTAAAACAACAGGAATTTATTTTCTCACAGTTCTGGAGGCTAGAAGTCTAAAATGAAGGTGTTGACAGGGTTAGTTCCTTCTGGGAGCTCTGAGGGAAGATCTGTTCCATGTCTCTCTCCTAGCTGGTGGTGGCCAGCAGTCCTTGGTGCTCCTTGGCTTGCAGCTTCATCACTCCAATCTCTGCCTCCAGCGTCACGTGGACTTCTTCCCCTGTGTATGTTTGTGTAGGTGTTTTCTGCCTTCCTACAAGGGCACTAGTCATATTGGATTTAGGGTTCACTCTAGCCCAATATGACCTCCTTTTAACTAATTATACCTGTAGAGACCTTATTTCCAAATTAGGTCACATTCTGAGGTTCCAGGTAGACATGAATTTTGCGGGGGACACTATTCAACACAGTACAGTCAGAAAGAAAGAAAACACACCTGCTGAAAGGAGGAGGCTGTTTTTATGTATTTATTTTTTGTGAGGCAGATCAACCCTGAGCTAACATCTGATGCCAATCCTCTTATTGCTGAGGAAGACTGGCCCTGGGCTAACATCTGTGCCCATCTTCCTCCACTTTATATGAGATGCTGCCACTGCATGGCCTGACAAGCGGTGTGTCGGTGCGCGCCCGGGATCCGAACCTGCAAACCCCAGGGCCGCCAAAGCAGAGCGCACGCACTTAACCACTGCACCACCAGACCAGCCCCAGGAGGAAGCTATTTTTGCCATGTAAGCCTAGAAGTGGAAGGCAGGCACTACAAGAAAGAATTGGTGATGCAGAAGTAGGCTGATGATATTTCTGGTGGATCCATAAACCAGGGTGGCTACTTTCTTCTGTATACTTTCCACATTGTTTTCCCAGTTGTGAGTCTAACTTGGATGTGATTCTTTCAAAGTTTAACCAATTAGCGATAAAATAGAAGGATACTGCAAAATCTAACTTATTTTCCTCTCTCACTACAGTTTAGAGTATCAAGAGGACTTCTTTTAACTAGGAATACAACACTGGTGACCCATCTGTAATAATCTTCAAATGTTTTACTGTGTGTAGTCTAGAGATTCTTAACCTGGAGTCCCATAATAGCCCATGGGATAACTGAAATTACACGAATTGTTTTGGTATCCTTGGCACCCAGTGGTGGTACAATAAAAATTTGTCGGGTGCAGAAATGAGTATTTTAGGAGCGAGGACAGAGTTTTCAAAATTCTGAAATGGGTTAGGGATCTCAAGAAGTGAAAACACTACTGGCCAAGTCAGTTGCTCTCCATTTTGAATTTATGTAGTTTAAGGATCTCAAGACCCATTCTGCGTTGGATTCCATTCATCTGTCCCATTTTCTTCTTACCCACACACCCATAAGTCATAAGGGCAATAAGACAAACATAAAGCAACTATGGATATTTAGAAAAAAGCTTGAAGGACTCATCAATGATTGATAGAGGAACAGGGATCACCTACTTTCACTGCCATTTAAAACTGACAGAAGTTTGAGGCTACATAAAGTAGGAACGAATTACTGATGGTGGTTTGGAAGTCTCTGCTGAAGGGTATTTAAGAAAATATATTTTCATTTGAAGGAAAGACACTAATCATAAGCTGGAAGTGCAGAATATTTTCAGTGTCCAATTTGGTTTAGCAACACTATGAGTCTTATGTACTTTTTGGCAGGGCTTAAACAATTACTCACAGTGAAAGAATGTGCAAAGAAATGAAAACAAGGGCTATGAAGAGGCCATAGATAAATTAAAAAATGAGTGGGCTTTCTCTAAACAATCAACCACCAGCATAATCAGTGAGCTCTTTGCCTTTTTTTCTCACCGTTTCCACTTGCTGCTGCAGTGTTCCAATTTCATTTTCAAGTCCTTTGATTCTCTCATCTCGTAGTTCTACTTCATGAACTAAGCGATCCTTGACTCTGCGAAGCTTGGTCCTGTAGTGGTGATGTTTCTCATTATAGTTTCTATGAAAGTAAATTTAAATATGGGCACACCTGAATACAGTGAAAATTTATTTCGCCGCCTCAATATTACCTTTCGTGGGTTTCTTCTTCTTGCTTTGGGCCTGGCACCAGATGCGGACACTTGTCCTGCCTCACATCTGTAGGACTTCTTGCCCCCAAGTTGGGGAATGGACCAAAGACAACCTCCTAAATAACGCCAGCTTTAGTCATCCCCAACTCAAGAAATTCCTTGACTTCTGATCTCCAACATCTAACTTCTGAATCTGGCTCCACTGATTCAGTCATTAATTTAAAATTTTCTAGTTCTTGGCTATACCTTTGGACAGTGATATAACCCACTTTAGTCTTCTCTATTTTCCAGATAACTGGGTCTGCTCTCAGTCCTTGCCTTGCGTCTGGACTTCTAAATGCCAGTTCTATACAGGTGTCTGCTTAAGACTCTTACTCCGATTCTGACATAAATCTGACTTACCTCCAAAAAGGACATGAAAAGATGTTCAACATCATTAGAAGTGCAAATCAAAACTAGGAGATACCAATGAGATACCACTTTGCACCCATAGGATGACTAAAATCAAAAAGAAAGATAATAAGTACTGGCTAGGATGTAGAGAAATTGGAACTCTCATACAATGTAGGAATGTCAAATGGTGCCACCTCATTGGAAAAAGCCTGGCAGTTCCTCAGATGGTTAAATATAAAGCATATGACCAGCAACTCCACTCCTAGATATATACCCAAGAGAAATGAAACATATGTCTACACAAAAACTTGTACACGAATGTTCATAGTAGCACTATTCACAATAGCCGAAAGGTGGAAACAACCCAAATTTCCATCAACTGGTGAACAGATGGAATATAAGATGGAATATAGATGGAATATAATAGATGGAAAATATGGAATATCTGTACAATGGAACATTATTCAGCCATAAAAAGGAATGAATGATCCATGCTACAACAGGAATGAACCTTGAGAGCATTATGCTCCGTGAAAGAAGCCAGTCACAAAGGACCATACATTATATGATTCCATTTATATGAAATGTCCAAAATATGCAAATATAGAGAGAAAGAAAGTAGATTAGTGGTTGCCTAGGGGTGGGGGTGGGGAGAGAAATTGGGGACAGAGGAGTGATAGCTAAAGGGTTTCTTTTTGGGGTAATGAAATGTTCTAAAATTGATTGTGGTGATGGGTATATAGCTAAAAGCCATTGAATTGTACCCTTTCAATGAGTGAATTGTATGGTATGTGAATTATATCTCAATAAACATGTTTAAAAAACAGAATAAGAGCCAGCCCTGATAGCCTAGTGGTTAAAATTCAGCACGCTCCACTTTGGCGTCCCAGGTTTGGTTCCAGGGTGCAGGACCACACCAATCATCTGTCAGTAGCCATGCTGTGGTGGTGGCTCACAAAGAAGAATCAGAAGAACATACAACTAGCATATACAACTATGTACTGGGGCTTTGCGGAGAAAAAGAAAAACAAAAGAGGAAGATTGGCAACAGATGTTAGAGCAGAGTGAATTTCTCAGCAAAAAAAAAAAAAAAAAATGCAGAGCAAGGAATCAGAAGCCTGGGAATCTGTATTAAGAAAACAGAATAGGGCCGGCCCCGTGTCTTGGCGGTTAAGTGCGCGCGCTCTGCTGCTGGCGGCCTGGGTTCGGATCCCGGGCGCGCACCGACGGACCGCTTCTCCAGCCATGCTGAGGCCGCGTCCCACATACATCAACTAGAAGGATGTGCAGCTATGACATACAACTATCTACTGGGGCTTTGGGGGGGGGGGAAGAAAACAGAATAAACAAATATCTAGTTACCATTTCAAGCTTCTATAACAGCTAATTTGAATAAAGAAGAAAATAAATTAAAGCCTCCACACCATCACTAGGTGATGTATGAAGGTGAAGGTGACTGTGCTGTCCAAATAAGAATATTGTTATTCAGAAAGTGCTTCTTCAAATTAAAAATTAAGAAGTTTCACTTTGAACCTATTACGTCTGATAACACAAAATCACTCTAAACTAGGATTTCTCAACCTCTGCACTATTGACATTTTGGGCCAGATAATTTTTTGTTGTAGAAGGCTGTACTATGCTTTATAGAATGCTTAGCAGCATCCTTGGCCTCTACATTAGATACCAGTAGCACCTTCTACAGTGTGACAATCCAAAATGTCTCCAGACATGGCCAAATGTCCCCTCGTCCTGTGAGGCAAACTATCCCCTGCTGAGAACCATTGCTCTAGCTAACTTCCTAAACTAGGTTTTCTCTAAGCCAACAGCAGTGGTTCCCAAACTGTGTTCTGATGAGCAACAGCAGCATCACCTGGGAACTTGTTAGAAATGCAAAGTCTCAGGCTCCACCCCAGAACTACAGAATCAGAAAATCTAGGGGGAGGGCCGGCCCTGTGGCTTAGCGGTTAAGTGCTCGCACTCCAATGCTGGCGGCCCAGGTTCGGATCCCGGGCGCGCACCGACACACTGCTTCTCCAGCCATGCTGAGGCTGCATCCCACATACAGCAACTAGAAAAGGATGTGCAACTATGACATACAACTATCTACTGGGGCTTTGGGGCAAAAATAAATAAATAAATAAAAATTATAAAAAAAAAGAAAATCTAGGGGTGGACCTGTGTTTTATCAAGTCCTCCAAGAGGTTCTGATGCAGGCTAGAGTTAGAGAGAAAGCCCCAGGCATATTTGGGAGGGACCCCCTCACCACTTCTGCATTATAAACAGACTACTTGTGGCAGGCTATAAGGTGCAGGTATGGCTTTTCTTCTTTCCTGCTAACAGAACCCAGATTTCATTTAGGTGTCCACAGAGACCCCTTGATCTCAAGGAAGGTGAGTGGGCCCCAGGTGTGTGTGTGTGGGGCAGAGGGATGGGCATGTCAAACAGGTAAGTCCTGCTGGACACTTCTAGAAAAGGTGAGAACTTGAGAAACCATCTCTCTCTGCCCTGGCTGCCCTCCTGCTGAGGTTGTGCTACCTGCAGCTGCAGCCACTGCCTTGTAACCACGAGGTGACAAGCCTAAAGACAAGAACGCCACCCACCAGGCACGGCAGAGCAGAAGGAAAGAGCCTGGTCCTTAATGACACTACTGAGCAGCTGAATCAACCTCCACAGTCACTTTCCTCTAGATTTCTTGTTACATAAGAACAAATATTTTTTTCTAAATGTATTAGGTTTTTTGTTATTTGTGGTCAATTCCATCCTGATACCTTAAAAACAAAAACTACTCTAAAACAAAAGACTATTCTAATGGTCTTTATAGCCCCTGACTTCCCTGAATGCCTAGAAATATGGATTAATGCCTTTTTAACTGAAACAAAAAATGTTTAAGGAGGAATCTGCTCTTTGTGACTGTAGGCACTTGAGGGCACAGTCTTTCAGACCCATGCTGCTGGGCAGTTTGCCTGTGTCACCCATCTGCTCTCAACTGGGGCTCTGACACTCAGACTGGAGGAAGCCCAACTAAGTGAGGGGGACTGACATGTGCTCCAGGCTTTTCACGAGGCACCTCATTTGACTTGAAAGCAAACTTGTGAACACTATCTCCTCACTCTAGGAATCAGGAGATGGAGGCTGTGTGGTAGAGTTAACTCAGCAGGACTGGGGTATGCAGACCCTTCAGGTTCCTTGACTGGCTCCTGGGAGACAACCTTGAAGCCCTTGGAATATCCTGCCCGATAATAATGCCTTTGTACATCTGTGGCCTTGGCCTCACCAGAGAGTTCATGCTAACAATATGATTTACGGTGAATGCAGTTTTGTTCAGCTAGAACCCTGGGCCATGCTGTATCCGTTTGACATTTGGGGAGCTGGGGGACTACAGACTGAGTAGTTAATGGGTCTATCACTGGGGCACTCCATGTCTGTGACTGACCTCCAATAAAATCACTGGATGTCAAGGCTCAGGTGCATTTCCCTGGTTGGGAATACTCCATACATGTTGTCACACATTGTTGCTGGGGGAATTAAGTATTATCTGTACTACTACACTGGGAGAGGACAACGGGAAGCTTGCTTGTATCTTGTCTCTCCTGGACTCTGCCCTATGTGCCTTTTTCCTTTGCTGATTTTAATCTGTATCCTTTCACTGTGGGCTGGCCCCATGGCTTAGCAGTTAAGTGAGGGCGCTCCGCTGCTGGCGGCCCGGGTTCGGATCCCGGGCGCGCACCGACACACTGCTTCTCCGGCCATGCTGAGGCCATGTCCCACATACAGCAACTAGAAGGATGTGCAGCTATGACATACAACTGTCTACTGGGGCTTTGGGGGGAAAATAAATAAATAAATAAAATCCTTTCACTGTAATAAACCATAACTAGGAGTATAACAGCTTTTCTGAGTTCTGTGAGTCCTTCAAATGAATCACCAAACCTGAGGGTGGTCTGGGGGACTCCTGCCACAGAGGGAAGTTACTTTTATAGAGAAGAATCTGACCCCAGAGCCTGTGATCTCCCACTATACCCCAATGCTATAATACAGCAAATCCAGGCAAACCAGATATTGCTGATTTCTCCCAACAAGATATTTTGTTTTATACGAGAATTAGGAACCAGATGGGAGGGGAAAAGCAAAGCAGACTTATCTAGATGCTAATTCTAGTCAAACTGTTATGGAAGAACTATTCCAAGAGACTCTTACATTCTTGTAAGTTATCTTAACCCTAAATGTGTTTTTGTAAGACTCTTCCATTTTCCAAAATAGTGCCCCTCTCTCTCCTACTTGCTGATTATACATAAAAGAATCATTTTGCATGTTTTTCCTTTAGAAGATTAATTTATCTGTTAGCCAGATACCAGGCTATAGGCTAGAGACATGCATACCAGGCTAGATACAGCTTGTCAGTGTATGTTGCAGTGACTGATTGCTGAGGTTGTCCCCAGTCCATTTTCTCCTTCTTCTGTCATTGTAGACCCCCTGATTTTTAGCGGGGCACTTGGTTGCTCAATAAATGAACTACATTTTCTGGATTTCCTTGTAGCTAGATGAGGCCATGTGAGTAAGTTCTGGCCAATAGAAAAGTGAGTGGAAGTAGTGTGCCTTAAGGGAAAATGGAATACCCTTGCCTTCCCCTCTTTCTTCCTTCTTGTTGGCTAGAATGTGGATATGGTAGTGAACCATCTTGAACTATGTGGATCAGGGCAACATGTTCAAGATGCTGGAGCAAGAAGATAGGAGGCGTCTAGGCTTCTGACACATTGAGCCACCATACCCATCCTGGACTGCTTATGTCTGCACAGTTAGGTAAGAGAGAAACCTCTCCCCTTTTTAAGCCACTTTTATTCAGGGTCTCTGCTACAGCAACTCAACCTACATCCTCATTAATAGAATTGGTCTAGATACCTGGGTTCATAAAACTGCCTCAAGCACGGTCAGTTCCGTGGCCCTTGCAGGACCCATTACATAATATGAGGTACACATTTTTGCAGACTGTGTTCACAATTACCACTGCTGTGACTTAGATTCTTTACGGGGAGACATTTCCATCTCATAAATGTTCTCATTTTCCTTTTACTAGGAATAGCTCGGTAAAAGACATCACTGGGCTTCAGCATCCTCTGGCCCACAGCTTCGGCCGTGTAACATCCAGCGGTGTACACACAACCTACCTGGGTTGTCCAGGTGTCCTCTGGGTTGCCCAGCTATTCAGTTACTCTGACATTTTGACATCATTTGAAAGACATGTTATTTCTGGAATTTCTCCTACCCACTCTGCCCTGGGATATTAAAACCCAAGTCTCTAAGCTTCCCATGCCAGACAGCTGCTGTCTCTCTTATTCTGCCATTTGGACTATTAAAAAATAAATTTGTTGAGGGCCAGCCTGGTGGCGTGGCGGTTAAGTGCACACACTCCACTTTAGTGGCCCAGGTTTCACCAGTTCGGATCCCGGGCACGGACCTACACATCGCTTGTCAAGCCATGCTGTGGCCATGTCCCATAGAAAGTAGAGGAATATGGGCACGGATGTTAGCTCAGGGCTTATCTTCCTTACACACACACAAAAAATAAATAAATAAATTTGTTGGGGCTTGCCCAGTGGCATAGTGGTTAAGTTAGCGCGCTCTGCTTTGGTGACCCAGGGTTCGCAGGTTCGGATCCTGAGCGTGGACCTACACACCACTCGGTGGCATCCCACATACAAAATAGAGGAAGATGGGCACAGATGTTAGCTCAGAACCAATCTTCCTCAGCAAAAAAAAAAAAAAAAGAGAGAGACAGAGAGGAAGATTGGCAACGGATGTTAGCTGATGGCCAATCTTCCTCACAAAAAAGTAATAAAATAAAAATAAATAAATAAATTTGTTTTTTAAAGTAAGATGATAAATTACAGAAAATTTGGGGGGGAAATCCAACTCCCAATATGATTAGGTTATACTTCCTTCCTATCCTTTATAAGCATCTTTTGTTTAAACATTGTCTACATTAAAATTTTTATCCTATGTTCTTTTCATTTATTATATCATACGCCTTTCCCCCTGCTATTATCTAGTCTTCATAGCCACCATCTTTCACAGTTGTATCATGTTCTGTCAAGTGAATGTGTTGTACTTGACCTCACTAGCTCCTGCTGTTTGATATGCAGGCTTCTTCCTGTTGTGTTATGCATGGTTTGAAGAGTACGATGATGCAGCACAGCTGGTGAGATCTTAGAGCCCTCCCTTGCCATCGCTGGCTGGTTATTTGGCACACTTATCAGTTTGGTCAGAAGTTCTGTTGGCCAACTTGCCCAAAGAACATGCGGATTTTCTAAGTTTATTTTTGACTTTGTTAGCTACTAGCACTATGAGGCAGCACAATACTCATGTTCTAAAATTTAGGGACAACTTTTTGCTTAGGTTTAAGTAAAACCAGATGGTCTTTCCATTATTTTTATTTCAAAAAGGCAAGGAATTTGTTTGTCTGGAAGAGTGGTTGGGAAAACATGGAAAAAATACGCATTGTCTGAAAGGTCAGGCCTGGAATCAGGGGAATGAAAACAAAAATGAACGTAGAGTGTTGACACTTACTTCCATTTTCTTTCCTAAAGTTGCAGTTTTCAACCCTCAATGCACATCAGAATCACATGGAGAAGCTTTTTTTTTTCCTGAGGAAGATTGGCTCTGAGCTAACATCTGTGCCCATCTTCCTCCATTTTGTATCATTTTGTATGTGGGATGCTGCCACGGCATGGCTTGATGAGTGGTGTGTTGGTCCGCACCCTGGATTCAAACCCGAGAACCCCAGGCCACCGAAGTGGAGCACGGGAACTTGACCACTATACCACCAGGCTGGCCCGGGGAAGCTTTTAGAAAACCACTGATCCCCAAGCCCTAGCCCCACAGATTCTGACTTATTAATCCATGTTGGGGCCCAGGCATGTGCAGCAAGGGTTAGGATTGACCGTCGTAAGGGCTATGGACAAATAACATGGAAAAACTTTCAGCCTCACTAGCCACCAAAGAAATTAAAAATAAAATGACAATTACGTAATTTATGACTATAAACGAGCATTAAAAATTGTAGAATATGTTGAGCAAAAGAAGTCAGACACAAAAGTCTGTCTGACTTACATGCAGTATGATTCCATGTAGATGAAATTCTAGGAAGTACAGAGATCAGAAGAGCGGATGCCTGGGAGGAGGTAAGGGAAGCAGGGGTACAGACTGACTGCAGAAAGGTAGGAGAGAACTTTAAGTGATAACAGAAATGTTCTGTATCTTGATTAGGATAGTGGTTATGTGGGCATATACATTTGTGCAAACTCATCAAATTGTACATTTAAAATCTGTGCATATATTATATGTAAATCATACTTCAATCAAAACAAAGAATATTGGGGAAAATTTCATCACAGCCCTCCCTGCCATAGGATCACCCAACGCTAATGAGGATGGGGTGAAATTGCCACTTTTATATAATGATGCCAGAAATTTTTGGTAGGATGCTTCTGAATGTTTGTCAATACATTTTAAGACCCAGAGTTCCAGCTTTTTGACCAGTAATTCCACAGTCTATAAAAATAATTTTTAAAATGAAAAAAATATATATCAAAACTTTTTTTTCCAGTGTTATTTTGAATAAAAATATCAATCATAGGACCAGTGAGTAATTCTTAACTAAATTAGGTCTGTGTTGTTCCAGCAGGCCTAGAATTGACCTGAGCTGTTTTCCTAAATTTCTTGCTTGGCACTAACCACTGGTCAAGGAATGAAATATACTGATTAAAATAGTGTTGCTTTGTAACCACAGGTCTGAGGAGTTTCACGGTGGGTTTGCACCAGCTTGTCAGCATCATTTATTGATAACAGTAAGATTGACGCTTTGCACCTGGTCTCAGTGAGACCCCCAAGCAGGCTCTGCTCATGAGGCTGGTCATTCATAGCAGAAATATGCTTCCATGGCCAGAAGAATATAAAAAAATCTCTGCCGAGACTCCATTTTGGGATCCCTGGTTGTGAGGTGTTCAGTGCACATGTGGGTGGTTCCTGACCCGAGAGAGAAGGTGCACCCAGGCACAGCCCTTACATAGGGAGGACCTCTAGGTCCCCTGCCTGACCCCTCTGGACTGCCTGCTGTGAGACAGCCATGGGCTGCCAAGCATGTCCTGATCCTAATTCTGTTACGATATTGTATCCTTCTCCTGCAATGAGCTGTACATCTGTAAGCATTGTCACTGGAGTTCCGTTAGTCTTCTTTAGCAACTGAACTCTGTTAGTACAAGGGCATACCAACTGTATGAAATATTATGTTTTATCAAAATAAGCAAATTCAAAGACTGTAGCAACAAAGCACAATGCTTATGAGATGATATTAAGAGAAAGAGAATATAAAACTTTATCTAAGCTTTGATAGTAAAATCATAAAACTATGTTTGTTGATAGAGACTAGGAGTGAACATGGGAGGCATTCTGGGTAAGTTTTCTTTCATTCAAAAATCTGCATTGTTTCATTATCTGTGAAATGAAAAAAAAAATTTAGCTGCCTAAAGACCAAATGTCATTTTACCTCTGGAAACTGATATTTACCTGGTGTGTGGATACACACACACACACACCCCCACACACACACCCCAGCCATTATGGGTACCCAGGCAGTATGGCTGCAGAGTCCATACTCTGAAATACTATGCTACACTGCAGAGAAGAGGAGAGCAGGAGGAATCAGGTGGAATGAGCAGGGAGTGGAAAAAAGAGAAGGGAGTTCAGGAACACAAATTTAGTCCCTACTATTTAGATATACAGTCCCTACTATATACCAGGGACTATGGATATAAAGATGAGTAAGACTGTGGCCCATGCCCTTGAAAAGCCTACAGTTGTGGGGCCAGCCCCGTGGCATAGTGGTTAAGTGAGCGTGCTCCACTTCAGCAGCCCAAGTTCGCCGGTTTGGATCCCAGGCGTGGACCTACACCACTCATCAGCCGTGCTGTGGTGGCATCCCACATGTAAAGTAGAGGAAGACTGGCACAGATGTTAGCTCAAGGCTAATCTTCGTCAAGCAAAAAAAAAAAATTTTAATCTGGAAAAAAAGTAGTAGTCACTGGAAAAAAAAAAAAAAAGAAAAGCCTACATTCTGGTGAGGAAGATAGGTAGTGAATCACCTTATTCAAAACAACGTGGCAAGTTCTGAAATAGTCCAGAGAGGCACATACAAAGGGCTATAGGGGCACAAAGAATGAGTACCTTACCCAACTTAGGCTAGGGGGTCAAGAAAGGCTTCTTAGAGAAGGTGACTTTTGAGTCTAAGAATTATGAGTTGAAATGAAGAGTTGAAATGGGGAGAGGGTGTCCAGGCTGAGGAAAGTATGTGAGGGGAGAAAAAACCTGAAAGCAAGTGAGAAGGTGCATCTGGAGAAAAGCAAGTTAGATACCATCAGAGCTCAATAAATAGTAATTTCCTTCTCCCTCCCTCTCTTGGGAAGAAACTGGGCCCCATATCTCTTGAGGAAAAGCTATAGGGCTAGAAGTTCCAGGAACCAAGGAGAGCTGTGCTGGCCCTCTGGCAAGCTCACTTCAGTGCGCATCCCTGCTTACCCTGGAGCTGGCTCAGCAAGCAGCAGCTGCTCTACACAGCGTTCTTCCAAAGGAAGCTGATTTTGTTTACCTCACATGGACATCAAGCTGCTTCAAAAATTGCCCATATTCTTCACACAGAGCTTCCTTCTCCTGCTGCAACCCAGACAGCTTCTCTGACAATTCCCAGTTGCTCTTGAGATGCTGAAAAACATTTTTTTTAAAAAATGAGAATACTCTGTGCTGGTTAAAGGTATGATATTGAGGGAATGCAAACTGGCAAAGCCTTTCTGCTGAAAAAGGCTTATAGTGACTCCAGCTTCTGGACCACAGTCGCTCCCTGTGATTTCCGCACTTCCAGATCTCCTGAAAGCCAGCAGCTCTTCTCCTTGACTTTTGCTCCCCCATCCTTTCTAATAGTTTTGCAAGCATCTAATTTCCTACACAGAAAAGGCTTCCAGCTTGAAGTACATAAAGTGAAAGCTGTTTTCCTGACCTAACCCTGACTAATAAAGTATTTGGTTCTAGAAGTGGATCCAGTGAACAGATCCTCAAAGATGGGAACCTGGGATTGGTTATATGACCTGGTTAGAGTTAAAGGCAGTATGATCTTGTCACTAGTACTAGTAATCCGTGACATTAAGAGTTGATTAAATTATAACTTATAGTTGCCTGTGATGAAGTGCTTTGGGAGATGACATGACTGCTACAAAGAATGTAATAGCAGAATTGAGAACTGCAAGGACTGTGGGGTGGGCTAGCCACATCTGACCATGTTAATGAGCTTACAAGGAGAATATGTTCAACTTGGGGATTTAATTATTGGAAGAAGACACAGTCAGAGACCCAGAGAGTTTCTATGAGTGCCCTGAAAGAAACTCTTCGCTCTTATAAGCAACAGGTCAATGTATACAGAAACCAAATCCAAAATTCCACGAGTTGATTTCATAACCTTGCCAGGCCTCTTATGTGAAAAATAATGCTTTGTTTGGGAATGTATGGAAATCTGAGAATTGGGAATGAGTACATCTGACAGGATTCCAATGACTGTGGTGAGCACGCTGGACCTCCAAATTCTAGTGAGCTTCTCTTTCGGCATAAGCAGTCCCTCCTCTGCTGTCTCAGGAGATTAACCACTCTTGTCTTGAAGACTCTGTATTGACTTCACTTGAGGCAGTTATTCTGTAAGAGGATACCCGTTGTTCTCAAGACCCACCTCTACACCACTACTTCTCATTGCCACCAATCCTATAACTAGAGTCAGATCCAAGCACATACTGGGGAGTGGGGATTAAGTACAGGGATTGACCTGGGAGGACTGCTATATTGAAAGAATGAAAAAATTTTGCCAACTTAAATTGGCAGAAGCCTGAGAAATATATGTAAGAATGTATTCATAATGTGTTATACTAGGAAGAAATGAATATAATGGTGAATAGGACAAATTTATTGATAGGGATGCCCTGACTAGAGATTCAGGATTTAATGTGTTTTTGGAACATCTAAAGTGACTTCAACAGTTTGCTTGGTTGGTTGACTGAAATTTGGACTCAACAATGGCCTATATTAAATGACATTAAGATGCCATACTTCCTTGACATAGAAAGGAAGAAATCCAAAGGCTTAGGAAAGGAAATTTGGAGTAGATTTATTATGGGTGACCTGCTCACCCACCTCATCACCATGACTCATACATCACTCACAAGACACTCTCTTCACCAAAGCTTTGCCAAATACATAGGTGAGGGGAGCACCAGATTTCTTGAAATGCTCTACAATGCTATCCAATTGAGGATGATCGTGGGAGGTGCCAACATTAAAATGGATCCCTGATTTTATTGGGGATGATAGTACTACAGTGTCGGAGGTCAAGTGGCAATATTTAACCCCCAGATACAAAGTAGGCATTATTACTCTTATTAGACAATAGGGCCAGAGATATAACCAAATGGTTTGACTTGTAGCAATCTTTGGTTGTGGTAATTGATCACAGTGATTGTAGGACTAAAACAGATGAGCAACCTATTCAAGTCTTACTTGAGTTGCATTTTTCTTTTTTATTTATTTATTTATTTTGTGAGGAAGATTGGCCCTGAGCTAACATCTGCCAATCCTCCTCTTTTTTTTTTTTTTTTTTTTTTTTGGGGAAAATTGGCCCTGGGCTAAAATCTGCCAATCCTCCTCTTTTTTTTTTTTTTTTTTTTTTGCTGAGGAAGACTGGCCCTGGGCTAACATCCATGCCCATCTTCCTCTACTCTATATGGGACACTACCACAGCATGGCTTGACAGGCAGTGCGTCGATGTGTGCCCAGGATCTGAACCGGCAAACCCTGGGCCACCGCAGCGGAGTGCGTGCACTTAACCGCTTGCGCCACTGGGCCAGCCCCTTGAGTTGCATTTTTAAAAATATATAAGTAAATAAATAAAACCTCCTGGGTGTGGTGAACAGAGGCCCAATCTGAATGATAACAATGGAGAATAACGGGCTTTTACTCAATCCCCAGACCTGAGCCAGTTCAGAGACCCAGAGTCCTTTGAATGATGGGAATGCCAGGTTGTCTTCAGGAAAAACCCTGTGACACTGTCCTAAGTATGTGATCTTCTCCCAAGTCTTCCTCACAGAGACCTATGCCCTTTTATCAAGGTGACTGGGCATTGGAAAAAGGGAATTATATAGACTTTTGGGGGAATTATAGTACAGTGGTTCTGAGTCAATACTAATACTTTGGAACTCAAAATGCCACTGAGGTTCACAATTCAGAGTGGGGGCTTAAAGAAGTAAGGTGAAAAATGGAGTTTAAACTCAGAGTGTATCTTAGAGTATGTCTGCAGTGATTCATTGGCTCAGTACATGTTTCACAGTGGGCCTAGGAGGGTTGTGAATCACCCCAGTGATTAGTTTCCCAATTCTTGAATGCATTGTCAGAAGAGACCATCTGAATAGCAGATTTTCCATGTTGGCTTTCTGACCCGAGGAGTGAGGGCTATTGATGGTAGAAAAGGCCAAGTTCTTGGACTGCCTCTTCAGATTCTAGAATTAACCTATACCACATTTACTCCTTCAACCTATGTATCAAGTAACCTTCAAGGCTGTAAGATTTTAGTGGGGCCCAAGCAAGACAAAGGCCTGCAGCTGTGTCAGGCTGCAGTGCAGACCGCTCTGCTGCTTGGGCTTTGTGACCCAGCGGATCCAGAGATGCTCCACGTTTTGGTGGTAGATGAGGACGCTATGTGGGACCTCTGGTAAGCTTTAGTAAGATAGTTTAACCTTAGGATTTGTGAGCGAAGCCATCCCTCCTCCCATAATAACTATTCACCTTTTGGGGAAGGTCCTTGCTTATGACTGGGCTCTGGTGGAGACTGAATACTTGGCCATGAGAAATCAAGTGATCGAGTAACCTGAGCTGCTTTTCCTAAAACTAGGTATTACCTGATTCACCAAGCCATTAAGTTGGGCACGTGCAGTGGTACTCCACCCTCAAGTGGAAGCACTGTGATAGTTACTGAGCCTGAGCAGGTCCTAAAGGTACAAAGTTGCATGAGCAAGTGGTACTTACTTCTACTGTATTACTATCTCTTTCAACCCAGACCTATGGCCTCGTGGGGAGTCCCCTATGACCAGTGAACTCAGACAGAATATATTTAGGCCTAATTTACATACGGTCCTGTACAATATGCTGCAACCACTTGAAACAGGGCTGCTGCAGCAGTACAGCCCTACTGAGGGGGGCCTCAAGAACAGCGGGAAGGGAAATCTCAGTGGGCAAAGCTTGTGTTCACTTTGCCTGGAAAGAGAGATGGCCAGAGGCATGGAGCTTTATTAATTCATAGAAAGTTTCTAATAGTTTGGCCAGATGATCAGGAATTTGCAAAGAATAATATTGGAGGACTGGTGAAAAAGAGTTCTGGGAAAGGGGCCTAAGGCTAGAAATGCTGTCCAATAGGATTTTCTGCAATGATGGAGATATTCTACATCTGCACTCTCCAATATGGTAGTCACTAGCCACAAGTGGCAACTGAGCACCTGAAATGTGGCTAGTGTGTCTGAGGAACTGGATTTTAAATTTTATTTAATTTTAATTAATTTAAATTTATATAGCCACGTGTGGCTAGTTGACACAATATCGGACAGCACAGGCCCGAGTGTGAAAACATATGCCTTTCATGTGTTTTTGCTCACCAGAGGGCATCCACAGGAGAAGTGGCTCTCAATAATAAGGTGGAAAAAAGAGTACATTCTGCAGATGTCACTTAGCCTCTTTTTCCAGCACCTATTTGCTTGCCCAATGGGCTCATGTACAAAGTTCATGGTGGCAGGAATATGTTTTACAAGGGGTCACCAAGGCTAATCCATTCAACTTGCCAAAAGCGAAGATCAGTGCTGAGCAACTGTTATGACACCGTCCACCGGGGCTTTATTATAGGCAGGTTTATTACACTGGACCCCTTCCACCATGGAGAGAACCGCAATTTGTCCCTAGTGGACTAGATACTCATTTTAGATACAGATTTGCTTTCTCCGTACATAATGCTTTTGCCAGGACCACCATCTGTGAACTTACAAATTCCTTATTTCTTGTCATGATATATTACTCAACATTGCTTCTGACCAAGAAAAGCATTTTACAGTAACAGAAGTGAAACAAAGGTTCATAAATATGAGTCATTGGTCTCACCATAAATCCCATCATCCAGAAAAAAACAACCTGACAAAACAGTGGAAAGACCTATGGAAGATGTAGTTATGATGCTGGCTAGGTGACAACATCTTTGGGGTTAGGTGATGTCCTGTAAGATGATGTATAAACTTTTAACCAATGATTAATATATGATGCCGTTTCTCTCACAGCCAGAACACGTGGAAAGGGACCAAAAGATGGAAGTGGCTTCTCCACACCAACACCCCACTGGCAAAATATGTGTTACTGTAGCATTGGCAGTTAACTTTATAATTAAGTTTTAAAGTTACAGTATATCCATGTGGATTGAGACTGAAGAAGTAGAAATTAACATTAACCAAAAATGATCACAGATACTGATGGGACTTTTGAGAAGTTAAGTGTGTCTTCATTTATATGAGTGACAGTGCATCATACAGGTAGAAGCATAATATTCTTCTTGTTTATTAGGTTAAATATGGGTAGAAGGGTTTGTATGGACGCTGACTAGCCAGAGTGGACTGCGCTGTTGCTCAACAGGATCCTCACTTTTCTAAGCTCTCCCCTGTGCTGCAAGGTTGGAAGTTTGGAAGCTACATTTCTCAGACTCCCTTGACAGTAGAGTTCCAGTTTAGTTTCTGCAAATGAGAGGCACTTGCACACGGTTTGGAAAGCACTGGTGGGAGGAGGAGCCATTGTTCTTCTCTAATACCAGCAGGCAGATGAATGAGCAGACACAGATGAGATGTTTGTAGGGCCTTCAGGGAGAGTTTCTGCAAATCCCCTACTTAAGAGCTCTAGGAGTTGGCTGCCCTGTGGTTTCTGAACTTCTGGATACACTGAAAGCAGCTCCAGTTCTTCCTGACCTTCGACTCACCCTCACCTCTCCCTTCCAACAGTTTTGTAAGCACGTTATTCCCTGTGTTAAATCCCCTCTTGCCTGAAATACCTAGAGTAGATTCTGCTTTCCTGATTGAACCCTGACCAAACCTAATGGGTAAAATGCTAGGCACTCAATAATTATTAGCTACTATTAGCTATTACTCAGGCTTATGGGAACAGCAAAACTGAGAGGCATATCCATTTACTTTCTTACCTCATCAGATTTTCTGTTTTCATTTTCCAGTTGTTTAAGTTGGGCCTCTTGTTGCTGAATTCTGTTTTGTTGCTGAGAACTGGTCATTTCCAGTTGATTCTCTTTGTCCTGTAAGATTTTCACTTGCTTTTGTAGCTCACTTATAATCTGATCTAGGAGTTTCCTGAAGGCAATCAATGTACATTAAATCACACTGTGAATTGCAAAGCTTTGCAAATGAAACTGTTTGACCTAAAATTGTTATATCACAGGGGATTTTTTTGGTTCAATGAGAAGGTATGTGTCCATAAGATAAAGGTACCAACACAAGGAGCCTCCTTTATGACAGAAGCTCTTCTTCTCTCTCTCACTCCTCAAAACAACCCTACAAAGAAGAAGAAATAACTTCCCTTATTTCAGAGAGGAAGCTGTAGCACAGAGAGGTTTAATTAACTTGCTTAATGTCACACAGCTAGGACAAGATGGAGGTAGGGCTCTAATCCGGGATCCCATATTCTTTCCACTCTTCTGCTTTACAAGTGTAGTCCCTTCATCCTCTTTGCTCAATATAGTGTTGTTAGTTACAACCACTATTGATATTAATGCACACATGTTAACGGTACTGCAGCTGAATCGTGAACAAGCCTGTGTTTCATGAGGAAATTCACCCTTTTCCAAAAGGGCCATAAGTACTTAACTCTTTCCAAGGGAGTCTCATCAGACTATAGTTTGTGGAAAGAGTTTCTGAGGATTTCAGACAAGGTTCTTCGGACTTAGGAGATTCATGTACAAGAATATGATGAGGATGATGATGAAATGGCACTGGTGGGCAAAATTCTCACCTATGTGCGAGGTCACTAAAATACTGTATTGGATGGGGCTGGCCTGGTGGCATAGTGGTTAAGTTCACATGCTTTGCTTTGGCAGCCTGGGGTTCACGGGTTCAGATCCCAGGTACAGACCTACACACCACTCGTTAAGCCACACTGTGGCAGCGTCCCACATACAAAGTAGAGGAGGATTGGCACGGATGTGAGCTCAGGGCCAATCTTCCTCACCAAAAAAGAAAGAAAAAATACTGTATTGGACAAATAAATTTGCTTTCTCTAACTTCGGTTTTCTCGGAAATCAATGGATTATTGGGAAAGATTTATATTTGAGACATGGGGCTATTTCTTCTCATGTTTCTGGATGTAAGTGTAGGCTCTTCAAGGATAGTCATAGCTTACCTTCGACCATTCACATTGACAAGATATGTTCACATATTGAGGAATATAGGGTAGCTTTCTGGTTCAAAACTGATTCGGCTTGAACTAAAGAAGCCTGATTTATGGCCTATCAAAGATACATTGTAGGTCCGGCCCCGTGGCTTAGCAGTTAAGTGCGCGCGCTCCGCTGCTGGTGGCCCGGGCTTGGATCCCGGGCGCGCACCAATGCACTGCTTCTCCGACCATGCTGGGGCCGCGACCCACATACAGCAACTAGAAGGATGTGCAGCTATGACATAAACAACTACCTACTGGGGCTTTGGGGGAAAAAAATAAATAAATAAAATTAAAAAAAAAAAAGATACATTGTAGATCTGCTTTAACCATAAAAAGAGTGCATCAAACATTAACTCAAAGTAAAAGAACACACTCTCTTAAGATAATGCATTTTTCCCCTCCTATGATGCCAGTTCTCAGTAACGCCCTATTGGTAATGCCCATTATTAGTCCTCCTGAAGAGAAGTTCCTTTCCTGACACCAGGGTCATGTTGCCCTGCTAATTTGCAACTGAACACCTCTTTGAAACTTTGTTGAATACGTATCCTGGGTGTGTTTAATGCATGTTCTTTGTTCTAAAAAGGTGTAAAACTACTGAAAACCAGACTTCTCCAGAACACTTTCTTCCTTTGTAGAAACTGCCTTCCCAAATTATAGTCCTCACCCTGGCTCAAGTAAAACTCACCTTATCTCTCATCTATAGAATGGTTATTGGTTATTTTGCAGCAACAGCATGCACCCCTGCACCAACATCCTCCCTTTCAGCTCTATTTCAATATATATATAACCTAATTCAATATATACCTGAGCAATTCCCTGTTATTACTGAAACCAGTGAACAGTTATAGCCATTGATGGTTAAGCAGCTAGCAACTATGGGGGATTGGAATTGTCCACCTCCAAATACATCTCTGCCTGAAAGACACTTTTCCCCACCCCAACTAACTAAGCAAAGGAATTTGGGATGGGAGGCCAGCCTCTAGAACAGGCCATTACCATAGACATCTCCGGGTATCTGGGTGGGTCCGTGCTAATAATAATATTATGAAACTATAAATTAATAACAGAAAGATAGATGGAAAATTCCCAAATATTTGGAGACTAAACAAACACACTTCTAAATAACACATGGATCAAAGAAGTCTCAAGAGAAATTTTAAAAATATTTTGAATTACATGATTTTACATGAAAATGAAAATACAGCAAAAGCAGTGCTTAGAGAGAAACTTATAGCATTAAATGCAAATATTACAAATGAAGAAAGATCAAAAACCAATAACATCAAAAGCCTAAGCATCCACCTTAGGAAACTAGAAAAAGAAGACCAATATAAGCCTAAATAAAGCAGAAAAGAAGAAACAATAAAAATTAGAGCAGAAATCAATGAAAATAGGAAAACAATAGAGAAAAACAATGAAACCAAAGCTGGTTCTTTGAAAAGATCAATAAAATTGATAAACCTCTATCCAGACTAACCAAGAAACAGAGAAGACACAAATTACTAACATCTGAAATGAAAGAGGGATCATCACTACAGACCCCATGGCCATTAAAAGGACAATAAAAAATATTATAAACAACTCTATGCCCACAAATTTGATAACTTAGATGAAATGGACTAATTCCTCAAAAGACACAATCTACTAAAACTTACACAAGGAGAAACAGACAATCTGAATAGGCCTATATCTAATTAAAGAAATTGAATCAATATTTAATAACCTTCCAAATAAAGCCCTAGGCCCAGAGGGTTTCAGTGATAAATTCTACCAAACATTTAAGGAAGAAACGATACCAATTCTCTACAATCTCTTCCAGAAAACTTGAAGAAGAGGGGACACTTCCTAACTAATTCTATGAGGCCAGCATTACCCTAATACCAAAACCAGATAAAGATATTACAAGAAAGGAAAACTGTAGACCAATATCTCCCATGACCATGTCCAAACTCCTTCATGTGGCTGGTCAGGCTCAGGATGACCAGGCCTAGCTTACCTTTCTAGCCTCATTTTTTTTGCCACTTCCCTTATCCCCAAATATTTTGTTCTAATAAAAATGAACATTTTTCACTTCACTGAAGAAGATGATGATGATTATGACAACAGTAACAATAACATCAAATATTGCAACAATAACACCTTTTTAGTAGTGGCTTTATAAAATGTGTCAACTTGGCTAGGAATTCCTTCCACATATGTTCTGGTTAGAGTGGTCTACAAGAGATATATCTGTGCAAGATTTGGAGGGTGGAAGTGAAGCATTTTGTTTTTTACACTTGGAAAGTCAGAGCAGGCACTTTTGTAGCTCATACATGTTGCTGCTTATCTGTTGCTCACCTTGGCGTGAGGCAACAGGCAGGCCTGCAATTGTTCCACCTTCCTTCAGATCCTCTTTCACCTTCTGCATCTCCTGGGCCAGGTGTCTGTTTAGCTCCTCGATGAGGAGGGACCAGCTTCTCCTGCAGGACACCTACTTTATCAAGGCTGGAGGCAGTGAGAACTGACACAGGTTCCAGTCCATCCTTGTGGGTTCAGCTTGTGCTCATGGGTTCCTGCTTGTCATTGCTCTCCATCTACACTTTCTGAACTGTTTGCCCTGCAGACTTCAAGCTCCAGCATAAGATGCAAAGACCACAGCCTTGCAGACTGTGTTACCTGCTCCCACAACTGCATAAGACCAAACCCCTGTAACAAATCTCTTATTAAATATATATTCCTCCTACTGGTTCTGCTTCTCTGATTGAACCCTGACTGATACAAGTACTTACTATGTGCCAGTCACTGATACAAGCCAATTGCTAGTAACTCATTCAGTCCACACAATGATCCCATGAGGTAGGTACTGAGAGGATAAGAAACTCGCCCAAGATGATGCAGCTACTAAATGGCTAAGAAGACGTCCAAGTTAAATGCAAATCCCAAAGCAGTATACTTAAAATGATTCAACTTTTGTTAACAAAACAAGAATAATAAAAAATATATGTGTTTGCACAGAAAAAAATCTGAGAAATACGTAGCAAATACTTAAAGTGGCTGTGGCTAAAGGATGGAATTCTGAAGAACTTATGGTTTTTATTTTAGATAGCTCTTTAGTATTTGAAATTTTATAATGAGCAGTTATAATTACAATTGTACTTGCCAGAATTTATATCAAGGAAATAATAAAGGATATGCACAAAAACTTGGCTGCAAGGATATATATTATGTCATTGTTTGCTATAGCAAGAAACTGGGAAAAATGTAAATGTCCAATAATAAAGGATTGATTAAATAAATTATGGTATATTATTAAAATAACCTTCTAGAAGAAAATTTAATGGCAGGTATACAGTTCATAAATTTTAAGTGAAAAATGTAGGTTACAACCTACACATATCTAAATTGGGGTTGCTTTCCTCTGGTTACAAAACAATACATACTCAATAGTCCCCTTTTTGTGGAAAAGAATTTCCCTACATATTTCATTTTCCTATACTTAGTTTAAATATTACTTCCACATATTTTCCTCAGTCAATTTTCACAAAAGATGTATAGAACTGGCATTACTATTGCCACTTTAGTGATAAGAAATCAAGTTTCAGGAAAATTAAATAGCCTTTTTCCTTGTTCAATTCTTTGATTATATCTTTTGTTTCTTTAAAAACTTCATACAGTTGTTTTACAATCTGTTCTTCGTAATTCCAATTGCTGAGGTTCTTGGGGGTTATAAATCCATTGTTTGTTGTTTCTGCTGACTTTCATTCATGGTAGCCAGTTTCCTAGTGTTATTTATGATTCTAAGCTTATATTTGACTAAACTTAATGTACGGGAATCCTTAACATCTAAATTGGGGTTGCTTTCCTCCAGAGATCATTTGGATTTTCTTAGTTAGGAAGCCAGGGGCTGCCTGTTGAGGAACACCTTAGCCCCTCAGGGTCCCCAGCTTCACACCGGAGCTTCCAGTTCAGCTCCCCTAGCCTGTGGCAAATGTCCCCAGCTGCTTCTCCTGAACTTGGGGCTGAGACTGTTATTTCCCCTTGATTTAGAAGTTTCTTTACCATTCATTGTTTTTGTTTTATCTCATTGTATGTTTGCCTTTAGGGCTTTCTCTTGCTTTGTGAACAATGCTTTAAAAGGTATGCTTATTGGGCCGGCCCCGTGGCTTAGCGGTTAAGTGCGCGCGCTCTGATGCTGGCGGCCCGGGTTCGGATCCCGGGAGCGCCCCGAGGCACCACTTCTCCGTCCAACGCGAGGCCGAGTCCCACGTACAGCAACTAGAAGGATGTGAACCTATGACGTACAACTATCTACTGGGGCTTTGGGGGGAAAAACTGAATAAATAAAATCTTTAAAAAAAATAATAATAAAAAAAAAATAAATAAAAAATAAAAGGTATGCTTATTGTAGTTTATTCAGAGTCTAGTTGTATTATAACAGGAGGATAGTCTGCCATCCTGCTAGAAGTGGCAGGGAGACAAGTGTTTTTCTACTGTACTTCACTGGGTGACTTCATCATTCATTCGCACATTCATTCATTCACTAAATATTTACTGAGTGCCAGTGCCTATGCTAGAGCTTTTAACTAGAGCTGAAAGAGAGGTTCTGAGCTTCATAGGATATGTGAATTGTCTGAATATATTTTTAGTAGCTAAAATCATATTTTTCTTAAAATAGATGTGAATCACTCTGAGTGTCACAGAATAAGAAGCATCAGTTACTGAAGTTTAGGGCATCCAAGAAGATCATTTAAGTAAGAATCCTAACAATATCATAATATTTTTTTTTCTTTGGTGAGGAAGATTGGCTCTGAGCTAACATCTGTTGCTGATCTTCCTCTTTTTGTTTGAGGAAAATTGTACCTGAGCTAACAGCTGTGCCCATCTTCCTCTATTTTGTATGTGGGATGCTGCCACAGCATGGCTTGATGAGCAGTGCGTAGGTCTGTACCTAGGATCCAAACCCGCAAACCCTGGGTGCCACAGCAGAGCACGCGAACTTAACTGCTATGCCACCAGGCTGGGCCCTAATCGTAATTTTAGAAAAAAAACATGACAGCTCCTATCTGGTAGCAGCTTGTTGATGATTAAGATGGCATAAAGTACTTGAAACTTCTTTGAAGAAAATCAGCTGATAAATACAAAACACCAACTTCGTTCTAGTCTGCATTTTGTGCCAATCATGTTAGAGCTGGAAAAGCAAATCCCAGAGCATCGTATTCCATAGGCAATCCAGTCATTCAACACAATTTACTGGTGCGTCCAGTGTGTTTAAGGACAACAAGAAATAATTCCTTTCCTTAAGGACCCCACACTCTAGTGTGGAAAGCAAATAAGAAAATAAACCATTAGCATACAGCGTGATAAGTGCTGTACATAAGCAGTTGTGTGACTGCGTTTACTTCAGTGGGGGCACAGGGACACAGTGCTAAACTCGGTCACGGGGACTGACATTTTTGCTCCTCTTACCTCTTCTGCTGTTCCTCCTGATACTGGTGCTTTATTTTAGCTTCATTTTCTATGGCTTCTTTTATCCTTTCCTCTAGTTGCTTCTTCCCCAGAATACAAGTGTCTGTGAGACAGACTTTATGAGCATGTTTTAATTTCTGCTGCAGATCCAAGATCTTGAATGAAAAAAGTTTACAAATAAAACTTTAAGAAGCGTGTGACCTATTTTCCAATTAGGGAAATACAGTACACATAGCAAACAGTAGTGCTAACACACAAATCTCATCGAAAGTAGAGAGTGTGGCTAGATTTATTTTTATTTTTTTCTCTCTCTTTTTTTTAATTTCATTGACATCACATTGGCTTATAGCATTATGTAAATTTCAGGTGTACATCATTATATTTTGGCTTCTGTTTGCCACCAAAAGTCTAGTTTCCATCTGTCACCTACATATGTACCCCTTATTTTAAAATAAATTACTTAAGTTTTGCCACATGTAATACATTTGCATAGTTTTGTGTGTGTGTGTGTGTGTGTGTAAACTAAGCTACATAGTGAAAAGTCTCCTTCCCATCCCTGTCCACCACCAAATAGGTAATCACTGGTGTTAGTGTCTTGTGTAGCCTTCCAGAAATTTATTTATGCATATAAACAAATATTGTATAGTTTTCCCCCATACACACATTTTTTTACTCAAATAATGACACATTATATATACCTATGCACCTTGCTTTCTTTTATAACAATACACTCTGTGATTTTTTCATATTATACATATATATAGCATTGTCTTCTCTTTTACAGCTGCATACCATTCCACTGTAAGGATATACCACAACTTAACTAGCCCCCTACTGATAGACATTTAGGTTGATTCCAATCTTTTGCTATAACAAACAATACACTTACAAACAATGTCTCTAGAAAAACTTATGAGATGTGGATTTGCTAGGGCAAAGGTTATTATTATTTGTTTGTTTAGCAGATAATGTCAAACTGTCTCCATAGGTATTAGACCAATTCACACTTCCAACAGCAATGTGTGCGAGTGTCTAGTTTCTCCAGTGTGGCTAGATTCATGAATAGTATCTCAAAACAAAGTAGAAGCCTCTTATAAATCAAGGACTATTAGCATATTGCCTAGCACCAGTCATATATTCTTTAATGCCCTCACAGAACTAAAAATAGGATTTATGAATTGGAAAAGAGATATATAATTTTATTTTAGAATTTATGTTAGATTAAAAGTGTCATTAAGGGGCCAGCCTGATGGTGTAGTGGTTAAGTTCACGCACCCCACTTTGGCGGCCCAGGGTTCGCAGGTTCAGATCTTGGGCGCGGACATATGTACCACTTATCAAGCCATGCTGTGCCAGGTGTCCCACATACAAAGTAGAGGAAGATGGGCACGGATGTTAGCCCAGGGCCAGTCTTCCTCAGCAAAAAAAAGAGGAGGATTGGCAACAGATGTTAGTTCAGGGCTAATCTTCCTCACCAAAAAAAAAAAAAAAAAAAGTGTCATTAAAAATTTTCACCCAAAATTGTGACTGGTATATAGTAGGTGCTCAGTAAATATTTGCTGAATGAATAGTTTTCAGCAGAACAGCTGTTCTCCCTCTATTGTACTCCTGTTGCAACAATGAATCCTTTACAATGGTTTGGCACCAGATTCTCCACAAACATTCAGTGAATGCCAGTGGATGGCAGTCCTTTTCTAAGAGAAGGCTTTCTGCATCAGCCCTAGGTCCCTGCAAAGCCCACATCATAGGGGTGGTGGAGATGCAGAATGATTCAAGGGCAATGGCAGTGGGCAGCCAGGTCATCTGAGGCCAGGTCAAGTTCCTTTGAGCTGCCCCATTCAGTTCTGCCTAGGGAAAATGCTTTGCATAAAAATATTCAGGGGCCAGCCCGGTGGCGCAAGTGGTTAAGTGTGTGCGCTCCACTGCGGTGGCCCGGGGTTCGCCAGTTCGGATCCTGGGCGCGTACCGACGCACTGCTTGGCAAGCCATGCTGTGGCGGCGTCCCATATAAAGTGGAGGAAGAGGGGCACAGATGTTAGCCCGGGGCAAGTCTTCCTCAGCAAAAAAAAGAGGAGGAATGGCAGATGCTAGCACAGGGCTGATCTCCTCACAAAAAAAATAAAAAATAAAAAAAATAAAGATATTGTCTTTTTTTTTTCCCCCTTTTTCTCCCCAAAGCCCCAGTAGATAGTTGTATGTCATAGTTGCACATCCTTCTAGCTGCTGTATGTGGGACGCCGCCTCAGCATGGCTGGACAAGTGGTGTGTTGGTGCACGCCTGGGATCCGAACCCGGGGCACAGAGCACGCGCACTTAACCACTAAGCCATGGGGCCAGCCCAAGATATTCAGTCTTAATTCCACAGATGAAAGTCTCATGCCGTTGGCTTCTCTGTCGAGGACATATGCCAAACTTTTGAACCCACCACCCAATTTAAGACAGAGAACATTTCCAATACTTTTGAAGTCCACTCTATGACCCTTTTTGATTATCCTTCTCTCTTCAGCTCAGAAAACCAATATCTTGAATTTTGTGTTAATCACTTTCTTGCTTTTTCTTTATTTATTTTATTTTTTCCCCCCAAAGCCCCAGCAGATAGTTGTATGTCATAGCTGCACATCCTTCTAGTTGCGGCATGTGGGACTCGGCCTCAGGATGGACGGAGAAGTGGCGCCTCGATGCGCACCCGGGATCCGAACCCCGGGCCGCCAGCATTGCAGCGCGCGCACTTAACCACCAAGCCACAGGGCCGGCCCATCTTGCTTTTTCTTTTAATAACATATATCTCTATATGACATAGTTTTTATTTTGTACTATTTTGACCGTTATAGCAATGGAATCACACTGTGGTTTTGGTGACTTGATTTTTATTCAATATTGTATCGAACTACAGCAGGTACCTGCAGGTCGTTCATTTTCACTGTTGTATGCTACTGTGTAAATATACAATTTATTTGATCTCATGTCAGTGGATATTTGGGTTTCCAATTTTCTGCTATTTGGAACAATGTTACTATGAAAATGATTGTATTCCTGTCTCCTGATACATATGTGCAGTATAATAGTTTCTCTAGTGTTTACGCTTAGTAGTAGAAATGTTGGGTTGTATGGTATATATATCTGTAACTTAACTAGATACTAATGCCAAATTGCTTTCCAAAGTGTTTATGCTATTTACTCTTCCAACTACAATCAGAATATAAGAGTTCCTGTTGCACAAAATCCAGTACTAATATTTAGTATTGTCTAAATTTAAAAATTTTACCAATCTTTATCAATTTTACCAATTCCTTTTTTAATGGAATAATAACATACATATGGTAAAGTGGACACATCTCACTCATACTCAGTAAAGTTTTACTTATATAACTATCTCCCAGACGAAGACACAGAATCCTTCTAGGACCACAGAAGATTCCCTCACGTCCCTCTCATTAACTGAGAGGTCAGTTAATGCCCCTCGTGCAGACAACCACTGTCCTGTCACCATGGCGTAGTTTTGTCTGTTCTTGAACCTCATATCCATGAAATTACACTAAGAACTCTTTTGTGCTGGCTTCTGTAATTCAACATTAGCTTTTGAGTTTAATTCAGATTGCTGTCATCAACTTTTTGATGTCTGTTTTATATTTATATGGTTTGATGAAATGACATTTTTTATGTAAGATCTGACTCTCAGACAAACCCACAGATCAAAATGTGCAGCTGTTACATACTACTGCCACCTAGTGCCACGGAATCTAAAATGCAGGGGCAATATTTCAAAATGATCCATTTCACTACACAAATCCCTCCAAAAATTATAAAATAAAAATCATATAGGGCCGGCCCGGTGGCTTAGCGGTTAAGTGCACGCGCTCCGCTGCTGGCGGCCCGGGTTCGGATCCCGGGCGTGCACCGACGCACCGCTTCTCCGGCCATGCTGGGGCCGCGTCCCACATGCAGCAACTGGAGGGATGTGCAGCTATGACATGCAACTATCTGCTGTGGCTTTGGGGGAAAAAATAAATAAATAAAATCTTTAAAAAAAAAATCATATAAATAGCCAATCCAAATGAGAGAATAAGTCTTTTAAAATATGAAAGTATAAAACAACAGTCATATGGTCTCAGTCAGTTCTTTAAGCTCATGTTATAGCTTTAATGAAACTTACCTTTCTAAGTTCACACAGTTTAAATAAACATACAAGATTTACTGGAACTATAGGAGCAAGTGAAGTCAAAAGAGAGGAAAGCATGGGAGAGTAAAGAAAAATCCTAGAATTCTATCAAGTTTGCACCACATCTACTTCTTAAAATCCTTGGAGAAACAGGATTTCAGTAGCAGTATCCACTGCATGCTATTTATTAAGCGTGAGGATAATTACCTTTTCCTCTGCATCAGCAACTTTAGATTTCTCCTGAGCCAGCTTTTCCTGTAGGCTGTTCTGTGATTTAATGCACTGAGCCTGGTTAAGTACTTCCAGCTCCAGTTCTCTGATTTTCTGCTGACAGTGCTTCCACTCTGCCGTGAGTGATGAGCACATCTTTGCACTGTCTAATAACTTCTGCTGGGCCTGCTTTAGTTCAATTTTGATCTAGAGGTGGGGAATAAATAAGAGTGATGAAAATCAGCATGGAATGAATGTGAATGTGAGGCAGAAGAAGCAGCTTTCAGAGGAGTGCAGTCCCCCAAGAGCTGACACACACCAACGGCACATGCTTGGTTACCTCTCTGGAGTTGCCATGTGTTAGTAAGGTTTGCCAAAGTCTATCCAACCAGATGGCAGCTGGACAAAGGAATTTTCTTAAGAGTGTCTATATATGCATGGTCTAAACATTTTCCATCCATTTTTCCATCCACCCCAAGCTGGCTTTCATTCCCACTGCTCCATGAAACCGTTGTTGCCGAGGGCACTACTGACCTCCCCACTGCCAGAATAAATCCAGTGGACAATTACCTCTCAGTAATGTGCCCTCCCTCTATCTCAGAAAGTTCTCCTCTCTTGGAGTCTGTGATACCTAACTCTCCTGGTTTTCACTTACTTCTCTGCTGTTCCTTCTTGGTCTCTTTTGTAGACTGTTCTAATGCTACCCAACTTCTAAATATTACTGGACTATCGTAGGCCATGAGAGTGGATCATTTTCTAGGTTCATTCTCATGACTTAAAATACCACCGTTAAGCCAATAACTGCCAAAATGAAACTCCTTGATTCTTCCCATATCTCCAAAATCATTTTTCTCTCAGTCTTCCTGATTTCAGTAAATGATGCCACCAGGCTAGTAACCTGAGAGTCATCCTTGAGTCTTCCTTTTCCACCATGAGCCAATTCAGCATATGCTGTCACTCTGCCTCCACAGCATATCTTGCATGAATCCATTTGTGTTGTTTGTGTCACCACCCTAGTCTAGATCATCATCATCTCTAGCCTGGGACGTAGCAATAGCCTCAACACTGGTCCTGACACTTCTTCAGGTCTTAGCTTAAACGTAACTTTGTAGGAGAAAACTTTCATGATCATTTAATCCAAACAGGATTACTTACTGTGCCACATTTATTTCCTTCATGGAACTTATCACAATTTATAATTAAACATGTATTTATCTACTTGTTTATCATCCTTTTTTCCTACTGTAAATTCCAAGAGACCAGGGACCATGTGTTCTATTCACTTCTTGGTATCCAAGGCCCACCAAAGTGCCTAAGAGTAGATGATTAATCAGTATTTACTGAACAAATAAATGAATGATAGTCTAAGGAATATTAGAACCTGGTGAATATATATACTAGGCAGGGCTCACAGACAAAAATGCTGAAAGAGAATTTATTTTTCCTCCTATAAAATGATTTCCTGGACTCAAAGCTTTTTAATTGAATTAATAGAGATTGTAACTATAATTTCTTCCACTTGTGACTTCTGTGTATTAACCAATCAGATTTATGAAGTGAACCTAAAAGTTAATAACATTCAACCTCTCTGAGCATCAGTTTCTTCATCTGTAATACGGGCATAATAACTACGTACCTCATAGGACAGTTCCGAGGCTACATTAAATAAAACAAAGCAATGAAGGGCCGGCCCCGTGGCTTAGCGGTTAAGTGCACGCGCTCTGCTTCTGGCGGCCTGGGTTCGGATCCCGGGCGTGCACCGACGCACCGCTTCTCCGGCCATGCTGAGGCCGCGTCCCACATACAGCAAGTAGAAGGATGTGCAGCTATGACATACAACTATCTACTGGGGCTTCAGGGCCAAAAAAAAAAGGAGGAGGACTGGCAATAGATGTTAGCTCAGAGCCGGTCTTCCTCAGCAAAAAGAGGAGGATGGCACGGATGTTGGCTCAGGGCTGATCTTCCTCACAAAAAAAAAAAAAAAGGCAATGAAAGCATCAAGAATAGATCCAGACTTGGGGCTGGCCAGGTGGTGTAGCGGTTAAGTGCACGTGCTCCGCTTCAGTGGCCCGAGGGTTCGCAGGTTTGGATGCCGGGCGCACACTGATGCACCGCTTGTCAAGCCATGCTGTGGCAGGCGTCCAACATATAAAGTAGAGGAAGATGGGCACTAATGTTAGCCCAGGGCCAATCTTCCTCAGCAAAAAGAGGAGGATTAGCATTGGATTCTAGCTCAGGGCTGATCTTCCTCACAAACACAAAAAAAGAATAGAGCCAGACACATAGGTACCACCTAATACAGGTTAACTGTTGTTCTTCAAGAACCACTTATAGAAAATCTATTGTATTTGAAGGATAGAACCGAGGCAGATACTAATATAACTATTTTACATTGGTTAGGTTTTCATATCTATGAAGTAGCTGAGACTGGTATTTTATTCCATTTTAGAAATGAAAAAGTTGAGCCTCAAATATAGTTGGCAAATGATAGAGCCAAGGTCTGAATACAGATTTTCTGATTCTAATCCAGTACTCTACACTATACTGTCTCTAAATTGTGAAATACCTGCATTTGTTATTTATCTAAAAAGAATACAGTAGAGTGGATCAACAAGGCTAAAAGTTGGTTCTTTAAAAAGGCTAATAAAATGGGTAAACTTCTATGAGACTGAACAAGAGAAAAGCAACAAAGCATAAGTGACTAGTATCATGAAAATAAAAAGGAACATTGTTATACCAAAAAATGGATAAGTTTATGTAAAAATTTTAAAAATTTAAATGCAAAGGAAAAATTTCTAGAAAAAATAAAATATACCAAAGTTGATAAAAGAAGAAATAAAAAAATGTGACTTCTCATAACTATTAAGAAACTGAATCAGTAATTGGAAATCTTCCCAAAAGAAAACTCTAGAATCAGAAGAATTCAGAGTTCTTATAATTATTTAAGAAATAATTGTAATCTTACAGAAACTTTCCCAGAGAACAGAAAGAGAGAGTAAATCACCATCTTATGTTAAGAGGCTGGGATAACCGTAATACCAAAATCTGACCTGGAAACTGGGGGAGAGAAAATGACAGGCCAGTCTCACTCATGGCTCAGATGCAAACATTCCAAAGAAATGTAAGCAAGCCAAAATCAGCAACGTAGAAAAGGGATCATAATTTATGATGACGTTGCGTTTATCCCAGGAATGCAAAGTTGGATTAACATTAGAAGAGCAGCCAATGCAATTCACCATATTAAGAGATTTAAGCTTTAAAAATTTTATCTTTTCAAAATATGCAGAAAAAGAATTTGATGAAATTCAATACGTACTTATCATAAAACATTGAACAAACTAACACTATAAAAGAATTTCCTTAATGTGATCAAGAATGTATATTTAAAACCTCTACAAAAACATACTAAATGGTGAAATTTGAGAGTTTGTCCTTTGAGATTGGGAATGAGAAAAGGACACCCACTATCACCAGTTCTATCCAGCATTGTACTAGCCACTGCATAGAACAAGAAAAAAAGAATGAAAGTTGTAACATTTGTTATTTTTTTTAGTTTGTTAAAAAAATTATTAGTAAATGTATTCTTAAACACTTCACTACATGCATTACAGAATAGGTATCACTTCCATTCACTGAAATAACACTGTGCTGAATGCATCTTTCTTTCTTTTTTTTTTATCAAGGTAACACTGGTTTATAACATTAAGTTTCAGGTGTACAACATTATAATTCGACTTCTCTATATACTACGGTGCACTCACTACAAAAACCTAGTTTCCATCTATCACCATACAATTGACTCCAAAAGGTCTAACATTTAGAAGTGAAGAAAGAAAATTATATTTATTCTCAGATATGATTTCTATTGTTTATTGATGTCATAATAGTTTATAACATTGTGAAGTTTTAGTTGTACATTATTGTTTGTCAGTCACCATATAAATGTGTCCCTTCACCCCTTGTGCCCACCGCCCAACCCCCTTCCCCCTGGTAACCACCAAACTGTTCTGTCTGTGTGTTAGTTTATCGTCCACGTATGAGTGAAATCATGCTCAGATATGATTTCTTGCATAGAAAATCCAAAATAATATAAACATAAATTATAAGAATTAATTTAAAAGTACAGCAAGGTTTTTATTAATTAAACCTTTATTAATTAAACCCTTTTACTAGAAAATTATTAGAAATTATCAATAAATTAGATAAGAAATGAGTAAATTAAAAAATAAATTAGAAATTATTAATAAAACCTTTTATTAATTAAACCCTTTTTATTAGAAAATATTAATTGCATTTTTATATATTAGCAATAGTTAGAAAATGAAAAATTTTACAAGTTACCATTTATAATAGTATGGAAAATATCAGCCCCTAGGAATAAGTCTAACAAAAGATATGTAAGACCTCCACAAACAAAATTATGATATTGAGAGAAATTAAAGAAGACCTAAATGTACTACACCCACATATTTCATAAATTAGAGAAATCAATATTGTAAAGATCTAAATTCTGCCCAAATTTATCTATAGATTCAGTGTAATTCCAACTAAAATCTCAAAATGTTGTGAGTGTATGTGTGTTGTGTGTGAGTGTATGTAGGTTGTGCGTGTTACTTGACAAGCGATGATAAAATTTATATAGAACTTCAAATGGCCAAGAATAGTCAAGACATCCTAGATCAAGAAGAATAAGGTGAAGGATTTTCTCTGTCAAATATTAAGATTTACATAAAGCTAAAGTAATTAAGATAGCATGTTATTGGCACAAGAATAGACAAATAGAATAATGGAATAGAATAGAGAGCTCAGAAACATAACACACATATACCAATATTTTTTGACTCAAGTGACAATAGAGTAATGTAGGAGAATATCTTCATGACTTTGAGGTAGACAAAGATTTCTTAAATCAGATCCCCAAATCACCAATTATAAAGGTAAACACTGATTAGATTAAACTTACAAACTTTGATTCATCAAAAGATATCATATTTAGAGAGTAAAAATACAAGCCAGAGTAGAAGATATTTGTAACACATACTTGATCAAGGGTTCATCTATAAAGAACCCCTATAAATTTAGAGAAAAATTAAAAGGACAGAAGGCCAAAAGAAAACTGAACAAAATCTTGAACAGGCATTTCACAAAATAGGAACTCAAATGCCAAATAAACATATATGAAGCTGCTCAACCTCATTTATAAACGGAAATACGGGCCGGCTCCATGGCTTAGCGGTTAAGTGCGCGCGCTCTGATGCTGGCGGCCCGGGTTCGGATCCCGGGCGCGCCCCAAGGCACCACTTCTCCGTCCAGCGCGAGGCCGAGTCCCACGTACAGCAACTAGAAGGATGTGAACCTATGACATACAACTATCTGCTGGGGCTTTGGGGGGAAAAAAAATGAATAAATAAAAAATCTTTATAAACGGAAATACATATTAAAACTGCAAGGAGCTACCAGTAAACCCTTATACTAGATTAGCAAAAATTTTAAAGTCTGACAGTATCCAGAGTTGATGAGGATGCAGAGCCACGAGAACCTTCATACCCGGCTGGTGGGAGTATAAAACTTTAGAAAAGGGTTGAAGTCATATAAACCCTATGATGCAATAATTCCACTCTCTCTTCCTAGAGAAATACACACTTATGAACATCAGGACACATGTACATGAATATTCATAGCAGCAGTTGTTAAAAAGTAGAGGCATGACTCAGATCCTTTCACACATCTCACTATTCAGAAAAGAGTCTTACATTCATTAAATGAGTGTATCTGAACAATGTTCTCTTATGCTCTCTGTTTAAAGGTAAAGCTCCTTAGGGAAAAGCTGTTCAAAGTGCCCAGAGTGCTGAGTTTATGATACCTCCTTTTGCTTTAACTTCTGAAAACCAGAAATGCTGTCTCCAAAAATGTTTACAGACATGTAAAAATCATCAAAATAGTTTATTAAACAGAATAGAAATGAATGCATGTAGAAATGAAGAAATTAAACCCTTAGAATAAAATGCCTTGATATCATTGGTGGGTCAATGTAGGTCAACAGGAAAAAATACTGTAATAAGCTTGTCTCTTTAGTATTCCCCCAGAGAAATCTAGGTTAAACTTTAACAAGCTTCCTATTTTTCCAGCGAAAATCCCCTTTATTCCCTCTGCCATTCTAAACCAGTTCAACTTCTCTCATTTTTTTTTTTCATTTTCTCATTTTATTTTTGAGGATTGGTACAGCTTTTGAAACTTCATTAACAGGAACAAATCTATTAACTGTTGATTTCTTCTCACAAGGTACTCTAACCTATTAGATAGCCTGGAAGTTTCATTTTTCAAGAACAATGTAACCACGAAAAACTCAGTAAGATCCAGATCCAATGAACAGAAGAAACAGAGACATCAAAGAAAAGAAGAAATCGAGTGTTGGACTATTTAGTGCATTGGATTCATTCAAGATTATGAAACCTAAACCTTTTATTGTAAATAGAAAGGGTACAAGTTCTTTCATAATATATTGTTCACTTACTCCATAGGCCAAGAAAGCTAAAAACCTCTGGGACCTGTGTTCATTAGTCATAGAGCCAACACTCAGCATTGCGGTAATGTTGGTGATGATGAAATGAGACAACAACACTGGAGAAAACACTGTTATGGCCAATGATACGTGCATCTAGGGCGGCTTCTTCAGCTTTAGGTTGGGACATTCAAGTGTCAGGAAGAGGATCCAGCAAAGTGTCTCAATGTTGGTGGTAGCAGAACAGCTCTCTGCTTGAAGCTTTGTAAGCCCATAGCATTCTTCTTAATAGCCAAAAGCTGAAAACATGCAAGATGCCCATAAACCATAGAAACAATAAATAAATTATGGCATTTTCTTATGGTAGAATACTATACTGCAAAGAAAATAAATGAACAACGGCTATACACAACATGGATGAATCTTCCAAACAAAGTAGATCATAAGAAGACAGACATAAGGTGCATATAATGATTGACTATGTTTGTAAAATATTCAAAATAGGCAAAACTGAACTATATTGTGTGGGATTCATATGTAAGTGGTAAAACCATAAAGTAAAGCAAGAGAGTAATTACCAAAATTAGTGGTCACTGCTCAAGTGAGAAGGCGATGAGACTATGATGGGAAAGAGGCTCTCAGGGGACACTGGTATACAGCCAATGTGCTATTTCTTGTCCTGGGTGGTGGCTACATAAGTGATCACTTTACAACAATTTGTTAAACTATATATTTATGTTTTATGTACCTTCTCAGTGTTATAGTTCACATAAAATGGTTTAATAATTTTTATTTATTTATTTTTTCCCCCAAAGCCCCAGTAGATAGCTGTATGTCATAGTTGCACATCCTTCTAGTTGCTGTATGTGGGACGCAGCCTCAGCATGGCCGGAGAAGCAGTGCGTCGGTGCGCGCCTGGGATCGAACCCAGGCCGCCAGCAGCGGAGCACGCACACTCAACCACCAAGCCACGGGGCCGGCCCTTTTTTTTAATAATTTTTATTTATTTATTTTTTCCCCCAAAGCCCCATCACATAAAATGGTTTAAAAGCAATAAATTAATATTCTGGTTTCTTAATCAGTCTTATGAGTATGTCTAATGGTAGCCAGAGATCAGAGGTTTGATCACCTCTGAGTGGATTTTAAAAAGTGAGCTCTGAGTTTGCAAAGCTGAAGTCCCAAAATGACCCCAAGTTGAGGAGAGGTATAATATGGAAAGACAGCTGTACACAGAAAAGAGAGAAACAGGACTGGGTTTAAGTTCTGACTCTCCAATTTGTTAGCTTTGCAGCCTTTCAGTTTTCTCATCTATAAAATGCTGACCCTTCAGGGTTGTGGGGAGGTTTATAAGAGATAAAGTGGACAAACTGCCAATAAAAGGTAGTTGGTTATTGTATATGACTCTGCTTAGGTGCCTGGCCTAGGGGACCAGCCAAAAGACTGATGTCTCATTACTAAAATGGCCAATATTTTACCCTACCACGAAGGAGATTTAAAACAGAACAAAAAATATCCTTTCTTTTTACCAAGTTATCATTTACCCATCTCTGAAGCACTCGTTCATCAATTCAACAAATATTACAGGGTGCCAATCACATATAAGACATCATGATCCGTGTTGTTCTGGTCATCGCATCTTGAGAAAGATGTAGTATTGCCTGACTATGTTCAGAGTTGGACAGTTAAAATGATCTAAGAAATATGTTTGAAGGAAAAGGTAAAAGGCTGTCTTACAAAGAAATGTGATAAAGATTTGGAATTTAATTTAAAACTACAAAGGCTTGAGGGAATATGATCAATATTCAAAAAAAATCAGGGGTGAGGATAGGGAAGAGGTTTCTTCAAATAATCAGGGAATACTAGAACTCCTAAAAAGGCTTCCATTGAAGTTTGAGAGAAATGCTATTGTTTTTTCCTATCTCTCTCCTATTAGACTGTGAGCTCCTGAAAAGTAGGGACCTTTCTTAATCCATTTTTATGTCACTTTTCAAATAAAGTCCATTGATCGCGCTGCACTAGGGGTGGGCAAACTTTTCCTATAAAGGGCCAGATAGTAAATATTTTAGCCTTTGTGGGCCATATGGTCTTTGTTAGAACTATTTAAATGTGCTATTATAGCGCAAAAGCAGCCATCAATAATACATGAAAAAAACAGGTATGGCTGTGTGCCAATAAAACTTTATTTACAAAAACAGAAGGCAGGCAGGCTGTGATCCATGGGCCAAAGTTTGCTGACCCCTGCACCAGGGGATAAGGATTATGTCTGTTTTGCCTACCATTAAACCCTTGGTAGCGACAAGGTTGCCTGCCCAGCGATGACTGATGCTCAATAAACACTTGTTGGATGTTGAATTCCAGAACCTTAGACAGGGGCTTACAGAAGCTAGGTCCCTAACATATATTTACACAATTGAACCACAATTAAAAGGAAGTACTATTTTACATGGTGGTTCAGTTTGAACATTTATGTGGTTCATAAAATTTAGATGAATCTGTGGATGGCAGCTCTACATAGATTATTTTAAAACAAGCACGTCTGGGGGATGTCCCCAGAACTTTTTGATACACTCTGTCAGGAAGAACAACTTTGCCCTCCCATGAATTGTGCCTTGGTTCAGTTGATATTTGATTCAACCAATAATAATGGATACATCTATTAGGGATAAATAAGTCTAGAGATAGAACTAGGGCAGGACAACCAGGGTTTGGACTAAGTCACTGAAATTTAGTAAAACTAGAAGTTTTAGGTAATAATTTCAAAAGATTGTGTAACTTAAAACTTTTTTATATTTACAGGTTGACAGCATACATACGTCTTCAGCAGCAGAGAAACAACTGAGCTGTGTGCCTGCTTGGTAGGGAAAAGTTAAATGAGTGAATTACCAGATAGCTCACATTGTCCCCCACCTGTGGACCCTATCATGCGTTATAAAGTTGAGGAATTTTGATTTGTTTATTCCCAGGGCCAGTTGAGCAATTCAGACCCTTCAATAAAGGATGCGCCCACTAGAGTTACCTTAATGCTTTCTTCCTGAAGTAAGCTATTATGTTGCTTTAAGTCCAAGTTCTTTCCTCGCTCATATCGAAGCTCTTTTTCAGCTGAGTTGCATAGAATCTGGAGCCGGTGCAAATTCTGGCGAAGTTGTTGTAGTTCCTCTTGCTGCTGGTGTTTCAGTTTTTCTCCAGGTGATGGATGCTAAAGCAAACATTTTAAAAGAGAAACATGGCCAATTTGAAAGAATATTGATAAAACATGGGTTCCACCTTCCAGAACCAGAATTGTCAGAATGTGATTATTCACATGTAAATGTTTTTGGAGTTTGCTTACCTACAACAAATTACTCTTGTACATTTATGGCTAGTTGGTACATGTTCATATAATTTAACTACTGCTATATTAGGGTGAAAACATCAAAGAAATTATGTGAACAAAAGCAGTTAAGCATAGACAATCAACTTTCTTATTTTGCACATCAATGAAGGGGAACAGAAGCACGGACAACTGGGGACACGCTTTAAATGAGGAGTTCAGAGAGCCAATATGTGAGGAAGCAGAGTGACTCTGTGTGTGTGGCATGTGTGGCATGTGTGTCGTGTCTGTTGGCAAAAGGAGAGAGCATATTTAGCAATTAAATTCCTAGCCTTTCTCATGACTTCCTTTTTACCACCTGATGATTCTTCAGTCACTACTTAACAACAGCACTCTCTGCTGTCAGGTCTCTCCAGTGCAAGAAAACTACCTTAAGCAAAGGAGCAGTCATTTGGGTTTTCTAAAAGGTGGGCACACACAGGTGTGCTGAACAGATGACACATGCAACCTTATCCAATTTAACAGATAAGATATACTTAGAGTTCCCTGAGTCCTGGTCCACTATGCTTCCTGTCTACGACTTTCTGAAAAGCCCAGGTCATTATTCTAGTTCTATCTTGCTTACAACAGAATTGCAACACAGAATTCCCCAAGTCCTGTTAGCCCTTCAATTCCTATCTTGGTTTAGTCAGAAAGGCAATCTAAATCCAATTTGCTTGTTTTGGAGCTGCAAGTGTCTAAGATCCCTAGAGAAAATTCTTTTATTTTTTATTTAAATTTTTTTTTTTTTCACTGAGGAAGATTAGCCCTGAGCTAACATCTGTGCCAATCTTACTATACTGTATATGTGGGTCACCGCCATAGCATGGCTGACAAGTGGTGTAGGTCCACGCCTGGGATCTGAACCCACAAACCCAGGCTTCCGAAGTGGAATGTGCCAAACCTAACCACTACATCACTGGGCCAGCCTCCCTACAGAAAATTCTTTAATGGAATTATAATGTAATTATTAAGAACCCTAACTTTGGAATTAGATACATCTGGGTTTCAATCCTGACACTACCACTTAACTAATTGGGCGATTTGGGAAAAGTTACTTAGTCTTTCTACATTTCATTTTCCTCATCTTAAAATGGGGATAATAAAGATAAATGCTAGACGGAGTAAAGGCTAAGTGAGATAATGCACACAAGCAGTCAGCACGATGCCTAGCACATAGCCAGCACTCAATAACATTACCCATTACTGTTGATGCTGCCTAACTTTACTTTAACTGCCTTCTTCTTCCATCTGAAAACAAGAGTTCTCCTTAAGCCTGGAGAGCCTTGATCACCACCCATCTTCTTATTCAACCATTATACAGAAGCTTTTAACAATTAGTTAGTAATCATCAGCCTATATAGCCACTTACCATACCAAAACACAGATACACGAAAGAAGCACCCCATTTATACCAATGGGACAAAGGTACAGAAGTTTTCAGCCTGTTTTGAAGAAGAGAAAAGCCAGAACAGTAGTTCCTCCTGCCCACATTTTCTGGTCAAGTCACTTTGCCAGAGTAGAAATGCAAATTATTTTCAAGGAAGGCAACTATTAAAGAAGCTACCAGGCAGCCAGTCAGGCATCCAACATGTAAACTACTTCCTGGTAGAAAGTGACTGCAGAGGCATAAGGGCCCATTCAGGCTACTAAGAGTGCAAAGTGAAGTACACAGGGGTCCTTTCTTGTCAGTCAACAGATTTGTTAAGCCAATTATCCTCTCTGAGTCTCAGTTTACTCATCTGCAAATTAAAGGCATAAGACCAGATAATGCCTAACGTCTCTTCCATCCTAAGGAATTTATAATTCCTTAAGAATTAAAGTTGAAACCAGCATTAATTATCTTAATTTTATAGGCTTAACATCTAGCTTTTAATATTTCAAAATATTATCTTAATAAAATAAAAATTCAATACGAACCAAGTTCATATGCTGGTCCCAAAGACAAGATCATTCCTATTGTGGAAACAGAGGTAAAGACTACTGGCTTTAGGGGACGGCCGGTAGCGGTTAAGTGCGCACACTCCGCTACGGCGGCCCGGGGTTTGCAGGTTTGGATCCAGGGCATGCACCGATGCCGCTTGTCAAGGCATGCTGTGGTGGCGTCCCATATAAAGTAGAGGAAGATGGGCACGGATGTTAGCTCAGGGCCAATCTTCCCCAGCAAAAAGAGGAAGATTGGCAACAGATGTTAGCTCAGGGCTAATCTTCCTCACATACACAGAAAAAAATTAAAAAAAAAAAAAGACTACTGGCTTTAAATAGTCTCATCTGGTGAATGTAGATGGAACAGGCTATCAAAATCTGTGAATATGTCAATCATCGAACTAAGTCCACTTGTTCTGACTCCCTATTCATCAAACATCCTTCAGATTTTGATTTGTCTTTCTTAGCTCTCTACAGGTAAATGCAACTGTTCATTTAAACATGTTCAAGTGATATTTATAATTAATTATTACAGAATAATAACTAATGGACATTCTGATTTTACCCAGTAGCCTTGAAAGTTTGGTTTAATGTGAGTTTACCCACGAGACACAGGTATGTTCTAGGGGGGCTGATACATCAAGTTTTGGAGCCTGCAAGCCTCAAGGCCCAACTCAGGATAAATTCACCAAGATAATCTATGACAGACACCCTGGGAGAGCTTCCAGGAGCTAGCTTGCCATCCTTCCTTAGGAAATTAGCCTGACATGAGAACTGTATGCTTTCTTTGAATTTTTCAGCAATTGGAAGCAAATGACATACCAGTTAAAAAGTCAAGCTCTAAAGCAGACAGACCCAGGTTCCACCACAACGTGTCACTCTGGGCAAATCATTTAACCTCTCTAAAGCCTCAGTTTCCTCATCTATAAATCGGCAACAATAATATTCCTGCCTCTGTGTATTGCTTAATATACACAGGGTATTTAGTATAGTGCCTAGAGCAAAGTAAATATTCAATAATGTTATGGAAAAACATGAAGCTAGGTTTTAAACGTATCAAGTTGAAATAATTAATGGTCGTTCCAGCTTGTTTCAAGAATAGTGGGAAAGTAATACCTCGAAATCACCTATCACAACCTCATCTGGAATACAGAAATTAAGCCCCCAAAGCCCATCAGTAGCCCAAATGATGTCACAAATACATATAAACAATAGAACTCTCACTCATAAGAGAGGCTCTCACAGTTTTTTTCTCTATGTATTTACCACTTATAAGCATTCTTTCAAGTTTGATATCTGGTCTCAGCCTATAGTTGCTGATTTGCACATTATGAGATGAGGAAGACACAGCACACATGGATAGCAGCTAGGTACTAGATACTAATCTGACCACAGGGGCGAAGACCAAAAAACTGCACACACACAAGAAATAAAGAGTAGAACAATCTATAGCCATCAGTAGGTCAAAGAACCCTATATACAGAAAGAGGTTCTGAAATTATCACTGCACAACACACTACAGAAAAAAAAAAATCTGTCCACAATGTATTTTCTTCCTGGCCTGCTTAAAGAAGGAAATGAAACAGTGTGTGTGACGGTGCCTTGGGAAATATAAAATTCAAAATACAAGTATGTTATTTTTTCCCCTTAGGCCCATATCTGTTTACTGCTGTACGTGCCTTAACACAGGGCCTGGCACATCATAGATATGCAATTAATATTGGTTGAATAAGTGAATAAGAGCACTTACACTTCTTTCAATAATTCAAAGTCATTATTATGAAAAAAATTACTGAAATATGCAAGAATTCAGTGAAACCCTAAGAGGCTACGTGGTATATAGGACTATTTGTCCTTGCACAAAGTGGCTGTTCTCCCAGGTTCCCATAGAATAGTTTTCACCTCCTTCCTAGGTATTGAGAAATCATTCTTCAAATAATGGGAAAGGGTAAAGAAAATTAATAAATTAATCAGAGTGTTACTTCTCATACTCTAAATTTCATTATTCTAAAAGTACACGGATCATTTTAAGCTCATAAGCAAAGATTTTACAATCCTTGTGACCTCAGTGTTCAGCCTCTGGCCAAACCTCCTACTCTGGCCCACTGCCCAATAAAGGGCCTGTCTGGGACATGGAAAATTAACCTCATTTTGAATATCTGATGTCATACTTCCTTTTGGTGTTCTGAACAAATCCAGTGACTGACTCCCTTTTCTTTCAAATGTATCTGAATTTCCTTTCAGGTATATAGTTTCCTTGTTCACTGTGACTTGCCTAGTTTTCAAACGCTATATCTGCACCTTCAAATTTATATTTGACATCCTTTACTGTTATTCTTCCTTTTTTTCCTAAATGTATACTGGAATCACTTTTCAAATACATCAGTCTTTTGAAGTTGGTTTACTTATGAGTACAAAGGCTTCCCTCTGTGGATCTCGGAAGAATTCCTAGAAAGCTGTGTGCAGGGAAATCTTAATCTGTACAAGAGGGACCCTGTAAGATTGAGGTATGAGAACTGAGGTGTGGCTGGTAGTCTCTCCTGCAGGCAGACCTCTAGTAAATAGCAAAAGCCATATTTAAAACAATTCCAAGTCTGTGGTCTTTTCCCCACCCAAACAAGGTATTTTGTACATTGAAGCTAGGTATCAGGAATAGAAAATGTGGCACAAATCCTGCCATTCTCCATCCCACCTGCCCAGGGCAGACATTGACAATCAATCAGCAGTTTTTCCTGCTGAGCTAGATGGAGCCTAAGAACCTTGTATAATAAAGTGCATCAACTGATGGGCTTAGTTCAGATTTTGGTTGCTATTTTATTACCATTCAGACCGTGGGTATGATATTGCTCAATAAATAAACATTAATGGATGATATAAAAATTATGCTTATGTCCACAGCTGATCTATGGAAATGGACCCAGTCAGAGCATGAGTTTATAGCACCTACCTGAGCGCTAGTGTCATCTGAACTATCCCCAGAGCTCTGAGACTGAAGGAGGCTCTGATTTATACGGCTCAGCTCTTCTCTAAGCCTCACAACTTCCTCAGGCTTCAGGGTCAACTGCTGTTCTTCACCTTTCATATCTCGGTTCTGTTGTGAGTTCGCCTCCTTCTGCCCCTCTCTTGGAAAATTGTCCTCCTTTACTGACTCCTCTGGTATTTCCTTCTGCTTGCTTTCTCCTAGTTCAGGACTTGATGCAAATATAATAATAAAAAACTATCAAAATGCTCACTATAGTAGCAGAATATGGAGAAAAAAATCTACCAGTCAAGTACTGCAAGATTTTCAACTTGAACTCTATAGCAGAGCAGTTATCTTACTCTTATAAATAAACTTTTAAAACAAACGAGTCATATTTTTTCACTCACATTCAGGAATATGACCCATCATAGATTTTTGTCTACACCTGAACCACCAGTTTAAGTGAGTTTTTCAACTTTTAGTATAGCATTGGGCAGACACAGCTTATAAAGATTAAGAAAAAAATCACTCAATAAGCACCAGGCACTTCGGCAGGTACTAGGGCTACAATAGGACATAACTCCTGCCCCAAGGAGCTTACAATTTAATGAGAAATAAGGATAAGTAAACAAGTGATTAGATTAAACTAGTAGTGAGTAATCTGAGGTCTGATGGATGAGTAGGCACAAGCTGGGCAAACGTAAAGGTGGAGGTATGTGTACACTTGCATGCGTATATGTATGTTGGTGGGGGGTGTTGATATAGATGAGAACAGGGAAAAATAAAGGCACTCCAGGATGACTTAATAAACAAGAGAGGTAGAAGCCCAGAGGCCAAAGAGAGAATGTGCATTAGAAAGATCATTTGGATGCCATGTGGCAGGGAATCCAGTTGAGAGACTCCTGTAGTGATCCATGAAATAAACAACAGTGACAGAATACGATGGTGGAGATGGAAAGAAGCAATGGATTCTAGAGATATTTAAAAGAAAATATTGATAAGATTTGTCATTTATTAGATGTGGCAGATAAGGGAGAAAAAGGAATAATGGATGACACCTGGATTTCTTTTTTTTTTTGGTGAGGAAGATCAGCCCTGAGCTAACATCCTTGCTAATCCTCCTCTTTTTGCTGAGGAAGACCGGCTCTGAGCTAACATCTATTGCCAATCCTCCTCCTTTTTTTCCCCCATAGCCCCAGTAGATAGTTGTACGTCATAGTTGCACATCCTTCTAGTTGCTGTATGTGGGACGCAGCCTCAGCATGGCCAGAGAAGCAGTGAGTCAGTGCACGCCCGGGATCGCAACCTGGGCCGCCAGTAGCTGAGCTCACGCACTTAACCACTAAGCCACGGGGCCAGCCCGACACCTGGATTTCTGACTGGGGCAAACGGGCAAGAGGATAGTAGACCAAGAAGGGGGAGTGGATGCAGATTGGTGAGATGCCTGTGGTGAAGTCACAGGTACGGAAGAACGTAAACAGAAACCTTAGGATTGGATAAGATGAGCCAGCGAGAAGGGAGAAAGTGAGAAGAGGAGGATCATTCCAGACAGAAGCCTAAAGACTTGTAAGGAAAACAAGCAGAGGAATGGGAGCCTGAAGAGGAGGCTGAGAAGCCAGCGAGGGAGGAGGAAAACTAAGAGATTGTGAGCCACGTACACCAAGAGGAGGAATGTACCTTCGATGGTGCATTGGAGAGAGTGGATGAAAAGCAGAGTGAAATGGACTTTTATTTTTACTCCCTTAATCTTAAGTTTGTTTCAGGTACCTCAGAACCTAGTACAACATGCTTCACAAATTATAGTTGGTGCTCAAATTCTTCAAGAAAGTAATTTGGCAATGCAGATCAAGAGCCATAAAAATGTTCAGATCCTTTGACTGAATAATTGCATACCAATGAACTTATTGCAATAAAATAACTCATAAGAAGAAAAAAGCTGAATGTATAATAATGCTCATAGCCATGCTATTTAAAATAGTGATTAAAGGGAGACATGGAAATGGCTAAGAGAATTAAAGTTAAATCAACTTGAAAGTGGTATAGAGTCTATTCAACATGAAAAATACCTATTAAAGTAAAATGGTAGAATAATAAACAATATATATATGTATGTATATACGTATAAACATAATACATACTATGGGAAACGTATATATATAAAAACCGGAAAGGAACAGGGGAAAAAATGTGTCTAGGGAGTTTTTTTTCTTTTAAAATTCCTTTAACACTGTATAAAAAAAGAATTAAATATCTTATTTTGAACTCAGCAGTTTTTTAAAGATAATATAGTCAAATGATTCAAAACAATAGGAGATAAAGAGTGAAATATTTTAAAAATAAATTTTTGATAAAATGACAATGATTTTTCCCACCCTCCATAAACCCTTTTGCTTTTCTTAATCCAATGTTAGCTAGATATACTTGAAGACTGGGAAAATGCAAACAAATATCTCATATTTTTTAAAATGGAAAAACTGACTTCTGCTTCCAGGAAGATGGAGTAGACATATTTTCTCTATTTCTCCCACCAAGTGCAACTAAAAACTCTGGACAATATATATAAAACAAACATAAGAAGACTCCGAAAGGTGGAAAGAAGTTAGACCAGCTAGGGAACTCGGGGCCTGAGGAATGACATGGCTGTGAGTTTCCTGGGTTTTCTTTTTGCCTCATATGTCCTGGACTTGGAGCTGAAAAAGCTGGCAACCCAGAAAACACCAACAAGCATAGACAAAAGCCTATTCTTTCTAGATAGAAGACCATGAAAAGGACAGCCAAGGAAGAAAAAAACCTTTTGGACAATACCCACTTTACTCCAGCCAAACACCACAGAAAAAATTGTGGTCCCCACCCCCACCTATGTCAGTAAAGGTCAAGTTGGGAACCTATACTTCCACCTTCGCCAGGCTATAATGAGGCACCCCAACTCCCCCACTAGGGTAGTGTCAGAGGCCAATAAGGAGCAGGGACTTTCACTCCTGCCAGGTAGTAACAGACAGGGGGAGTCTGGACTTTCACCCCTACCTGGCAGGAAGGAGGCACCCTTCTCCCTTTCCACTGAGGTGGTGTCAGAGGAGGCCTATTGGAGAGTCAGGACTTTCACTACCACCCAGCATAACAAGACCACCTCTACTGACCCTAGTCATGATATCACGGAGTCCAAGTAGAGAGCAGTAACAAGGCATTCCTCCCCCTCACAGTCTGTAAGCAGAGGCCTAGTGGGGAATAGGAACTCCCACCCTCTTCAGCAGTAATGAGGAGCCCCTCTTTCCTTGGTTGTCCATGGAGACTGAGTGGGAACCTGGACTTCTACCCTACCTGGGGTAGCAATGAGAGAGCACCCTCCTCCCTCTACTAGAGTGGTATCAGAAGAAGCCAGATAAACAGTAGGTTTAAATAAGATCTACAGCCTCCTAAGATAATACCCAAATATTCATATTTCAATCTAAAATTACTCATCATACCAAGAACCAGGAAAATCTCAACTTGAATGATAAATGGCAACAATTGATGACAAAACCAAGATGTCAGAATTATCTGACAAATATTTTAAATCAGCCATCATAAAAATGCTTCAAGGAGCAATTATGAACATACTTGAAACAAATGAAAGAACAGTCTCAGAAAAGAACTAGAAAGTCTCAGCAAACAAATAGAAGATATAAGGAAGAACCAGGGCTGGCCCTGTGGCTTAGCGGTTAAGTGCGAGCGCTCCGCTGCTGGTGGCCCAGGTTTGGATCCTGGGCGTGCACCGATGCACCGCTTCTCCGGCCATGCTGAGGCCACGTCCCACATGCAGCAACTGGAAGGATGTGCAGCTGTGACATACAACTATCTAGTGGGGCTTTGGGGGAAATAAATAAAGTAAAAAAAAATTTAAAAAAAAAAAGGAAGAACCAAATGGAAATTTTTGAAGTGAGAAATTCAATAACCAAAATTTAAAAACTCAATGGATGGAATCAACAGCAAAATGGAGGAGAAAGAGAAAAGAATCAGTGAACTTGAAGCCAGAACAATAGAAATTACCCAATCTGAACAACAGAGAGGAAATGGACTGGAAAAAAAAAAAAAAACAGTGCCTCTGGGAACTGTGGGGCTATAACAAAAGATCTAATACTTGTGTCATTGGATCCTGGAAGGAGAGGAGAATAAGGCAGGGCTGAAAAAATACTTGAAGAAATAATGGCTACAAACTTTCCAAAAGACATAAACATACAGATTCAAGAAGCTCAACAGGATAAACCTAAAGAAATCCATACCAAAACACATCATAGTCAAATTTTTCAAAACTAAAGACAAAGGAAAAAAAAATCTTGAAAGCAGCAAGAGAGATACACTACCTTATCCATAGGGAAAAACAATTCATAAGACAGCAGACTTCTCATCAGAAACTACAGAGACCAGCAGGAAGTGGCATAACATTTCTCAAGTGCTAAAGAAAAAGAACTGTCCACCCCGGATCTTATACACACTGAAAACATCCGTCAGGAAAGAAGAGGAAATCAAGACATTCTCAGATGAAGGGAAAGAGACTTTGGCACCAGTAGACTTACTCTAAAAGAATGGCTAAAGGAAATTCTCCATACACAAAGGAAATGATAAAAGAAGGAATCTTGGAACATCAGGAGGAAAGAAAGTACAGAAAGAGTAAAAATATGGATAAATACATTTTCCTTCTCCTTTTGAATTTCCTAAATTCTGTATAATGATTGAAGCTGTCTGATGTAGTTCTAACTGTATGCAGAGAAAAATTTTAAGACAATTATATTATAAATGGGAGAGGGTAAAGGGACAGAAAGGGAGGTAAGGTTTCTACATTTCACTCAAACTGGTAAAATGATGTTTTGTGCATGTGTGTAAAATGTAATACCTAGATCAACCTATAAAGCTATACAGAGGTACACTCAAAAACACTATAGATAAATCCAAATGGAATGCTAAAAAATGTTCCAGTAACCCACAGGAAGCCACAAAATAGAAAACAGATACAAACAACAGAGAGAACAAATAGAAAACCAAAAAGGAAAAAATGGCAGACTTAAGCCCTAACATATCAATAATTACATTACATGTAAAAGGTCTAAATACACGAATTAAAAGACAGATACTGGCAAAGTGGATTAAAAAATAAGACCTAACTATATGCTGTCTATAAAAACTCACTTCAAATATAATGATATAAGCAGTTTGAAAGTAAAAGGATAGGAAAAAGATATATCCTGCAAATAT